TGACTGGCAAACACATCAGATGAGTTTGAGCTCAGAGCCTGACCCGAGGCCACGTGTGGAGTGAGTCCATGACCAGCTCTGTCACCCACCCACCAGAGCTCTGCCCTGCCCCACTGCTGCCCATCATCTTCACCTTGCAGCTGAGTCACCAGTGCTGTCTGATTATTTTATTTTTCACGGTAAGTGGTTGGAAACAGAGACTCAAACAAATCCCAGGCTGAAGTTGGGATTGCACAGAAGACAAAGTTGGTCTATGAAGAGGATCTGTGACAATAAAGAGGACAAGGTGATCACTCTACCCCCCAGCACCTCAGATTGGTGCTGTTTGCTGTGCTTTATCACCCTGCTGGAGCAGCAGGTTTCCTGTGGGATCACTCACAGTTGCACCTACCTGAAAGCACCTCCTGTCACACTCAAGAATTCCCTCACCTGCTGGGTGTGGAATAAAATCACATCCCCCTTCCCAGGTTGCTCTAAAAATGCAATGTGGCCCCTTTTCCTTGAAGCACTTGCCCAGAACAATCAGTAGAAAATGAAATACCATGTGATAATGGGGAGAAGAAGTGGGGGGCGGGAAAAAGCAACAGCAAGAATACATAAGAGATGTAAGTTTTGATAAACTGCAGTGCAGCCAGCTATGTCCAGAAAAAAGAGACCTGTAGATTAAAGAAAGGGGGAAAAAAGGTGGGGAGGAGGTGAACCAAAAACCTCTACCACTAAACAAACCAAAGACTGTATTTATTTCTTAAATCCTTGCCTTAATAAAGAATGCCATCTGACAACAAGGTTGAAGCAAGATCTCTGTGCACAGCAGACCCACAGTTCATCTCCACCTGCTCCCAGCAGCATTCCAGTGTCATTCCCAGGCTGGGAGTTTGTCCAAATGAGAACATTTGAAGCCAAGCTGCAGGGTGGCCATGGGGCAGCTGTGGCACTGCAGCCTGAGCTGCACAACAACAGCAGGAGCCACACACCCAGGTTATGGCTGAGCAAAGATCTCCTCAGCTTGGGAAGCATCTCTTCTTCTTGTGCAACTGAAAACTCCTCAGAAAACTCGGGGAGGCACCTCCTGGTTCACTTGCACGTCCTTGTACCTGGCAGTGCCAGGACAAGGAGAGTGTTTTCCACAAAGCTTAACCACTTGGGCTACTTGGGCCACTGAAACTTGCTTTTGAAGAAGAATTGAAGTTAATCAAACTCTTGCTCTGATTGCCCAGTTCATAAGCTGGAAGCACTAATAAACGACAGGATTTTTAAGATGTGTGTAGGTGATTGCTGGTGGGTTTTCTCCATTTTTCATAACTCGTGTTATGAACATGGGCATAGGAGTGAGGAGAGGCCGCTCATAACACAGCAACCCTTTTGCAAAACTCAGGTGACATCATCTGGCCAAGGCCGGTCCTGCAGGTACCGATTCAAAGATTATCCGGTAACTCGCTGAAATGGAAATTCCGTTTGTTAAGAAAAACCCCACAGAGCTGTGCAGAATGAAGGAGTGATGTAAGAGCCACCCCAAAGCAGCGAAGTCCGTGTCAGAGAAGAGAAAAGAGCACACGAGAGGCTCCCCCGTGGGAGCTCAGAGCGCCGAGCTGAGAGCAGGGAATGGTTTCAGGCACTGCAGGCAGGAAGGACTATATTTCCATGGGAGGAACTATTTCCATGGGAGGAACTATTTCTACAGGAAGAGCTATTTCTAGAGGCAGCACCTTCGGGCTGATTTGAGAGAAGTACAAAGTCAGCCTGAACACTCTAGAACCAGTTCCTGCAGGATCGGCTCCAAGATTCCAGCAGGAGGCAGGAGCAGCGTGCTTTGTGACCCACTCAGCTGCTGCCCGCAGTCCCAGCACCCTTTCCAGCACTGCACAGTGACATTTGCCCTTCTGCCTTGCTTCCAGCCCCAAAAGCTCACCAGAAGCTTAGAACCATAGTGGTTTTCTCTCTCAGAAAAGCGCTCAGTTAAGTTTGCTTGACCCAAAGAGAAACCATAATTATGTTCCCTTTCCACAATTGCTTGGCTCCCAGTCATCACTGCCTCAAAGCATCCTGAGAGTCCCTAGCAGGGCTGAGGGAAGCCAAGCTCAAGCAGATGTCCCCCCCTTGCCAGCGTGGGCCATAAAGTCCCTGAGCATCTAACACAGAAATAAACTCTTACCTGGCTGACAAGTGGAGAGATCCAACAGGAGCAGTTGGAACTTGTTCTTCAGGATAAATACAAAGAGCTAGTAAAGCATCAAGTGTTTTATTTGACTGTAACACTCCTTTGAAGGTTAATCTGTCACAGACACAAAGGAGAGAAATGTTTTTCTCCATGTCCCACCATGTTCTGTATCCCTGACACAAACACACACTCTGGATTTGTACTTTTGTATTTCTACTGAAGCATTAAAGCTGTGGCAGAGGAGAGCACACCCCACCAGTGTGAGCAACACTGTGATACCTGACAAAACCACAGCTCTGCCTGCAGCTCTCATGGCAACTACAGCTCTGAACAGAGAACCTCTGACCAACTTCAACAATACCAAAAAACTCTTCCTCGAAGTTTAGACAAGTACCTTCTTTTGGTAACAACAACATCTGTTCCAAATAATTTTATTTTCTCTTTACCCCATCCAACCAGATACATATTTGGAATTAATGGAAATAAAGTTAAGCCTCAAAGACTAAGAATGTGAATACTTGCCTTGCTGTTGGTCTATTGTAATTAAGGATAAGGTTTGTACAGATGTTGTATTTGTAGGGTGTTTTTGCACTGTTTCAATACAATGACAACATTTGGATGTTACAGTGATGCTTTAGCTGCTGATGAACACACATGTACATGTCAGCCTACCCAAATTATCTGTCTGTAATTGTCAGCTGAACTAAAGCACAGTTTGGATGTTTTGTGACCTCGTGCCCCTTTGCTGACTGGATAATTTGGTGGAAGCTCAGCAGTATCAAGATGTCCTTACTTTCATGGAGTAACAATTATTTCCATTGTGGGAAACCCCCAGAGCTACAAGCACTCCAAGCAAACTCACACCTACTCAAACTATTTACTTCTGTCCCAGCTGGAACATTTGTGCTCTCTGACCTGGAATCTGCAGCATCTTCTCCTAAGAACATTCAGCAGAAAGAACTCCACATTCCAGTGCAGCAATCAAAACATTGTCTTCCTTCCATCCATTTAATAAAGATTAAAGTGTGAAATGAATATTTTTATTTACAAAAGCAGTGATCCCCCTCACTAATTACAAAGAAGTTAAAAAAAGGTACCCCCCAAATTCCAACTATGTTATGGAGGACTGAATATTTAAATATATACAAGCACCATAATTTAGGCTTTCTGGAGAAAAAAGTGACAAAGTTGTATTTCAACTCAAGGTTTAAGTTTTAGGGAAGAAAATGCAATGCTGTAATCATCCTACAGTGGAAAAGGATAATGTTAAACTAGTTAAAGGTTGGTTCAGATTTTTTTGGTTGGTTGGTTTTTTTAAAAATTATGGCTTTACCTGCATACTCCCAGTTTAGGGCTCCCCTCTCCTTGCAGGCAGACCAGACCCCTCGAGGGTGACACAGGGCCTGACCTTCACTTGTTTGCCTTTCTGAGGCAGATGAATCCTCAATCTGCACAGCCCCAGCCTCGAGGATGAGGGCAGGGCACACTTTAAAGCAAGTTGGAGCCCAGCACCAAGAATTTCAGCCCCCTCTGTAACCTCCTGCACACCCCTGAAGTCTGCAGGCCTCGTCACAGAGGTGCCAGGGGCAGACTGCCTGAGGAAACCCTGCTGGGCTGATATCAAGGACAACAGACAAACTCATTTAATCTGCTTCCACGCTGAGCTGCTGGATGTGCTTCAATATGTACTGGCTGAAAAAAAAACTAACAGTAAATTAGTTTTCCAGAACAGAGGTTTTTTAAGGATGCATTCAGTGACTGCAGCTGTAGAACTGAATTACAGTCAATCCTGAATAGTCAAAAGCACAAACATTTGTTAGAACAGTTTTACCTTCCTTCTAATCCCATCTTCAAAACAGATTTAAATGCCTGAAAAAAGCAGTAATCATTTTTATGTGGAAGTGTACAAAAAACCTCATCCACAAGGGCTACCAGTTTAAGCCCCAAGGCCCCACCTACTTCAGATCTTGAGAAAAATCTAAGTACTTTTTCATCTGCTAAGCTGTGGAAGAACAGAGCTTTTGTTTTAAGGGAAGTTCAGGGAAAATAGAAAAGCAATATTTTCATCTGCTCTGCTGCACCCTCACGAGTTCTTATTCAGCAGCAACAACAGCAAACAGTCCTGTATCCCCAGGATGCACCTTCTTGTGGGGAACAGTTACTGCTGTGAGTAAACAAGGCAGAGCAGTCACCAGAGAGCACCATCTGCAAAAGCTCCTCTGCAAGCTTGGATGGCACTCCAGAAAGCACAGCATGAAAGAAAACACACACACATGTATGCTCAGAGAGCAGGACACACACTCACTAGAGAAAATAACCCTGGGCCTGTAAGGAAAAGCTGATGCCCAAAAGCAAGAATTAAACATCTTTTGGTGGAATATCAGCACTGTTATGTCCTCTAAGTTAAGTCTGAAGAGAAAGGTGCTCTCTCCTTCAGTATATTTACATTTAGATGAATTTTTGAAGTTCTGGATCTGACAAACTTCATTTAAATTCCAGTTGGTGGATTTGATGAAGGGAACTCCATAGATCAATACTTAATAAAGGGTATATTTTTTAAGTAAAGCACTTAAATGCCTAAGTCTAGTACTGTTCAAATTGAAACAGGGACTTGTGAAGACCCTCATGTGTTTGAGCTGAAAGATGGAACACAAGTTCACACAAAGTTAAGAGAATGTGCATTCACACTTCAAAATCATTGCAGAAGAAAATACAATTTTTTCCTAGCTTAAGGAAGAGAATTAGGAGAGCAGAGTAACAATCCCAGGGCTCTCTGAACAGCTTTCTTTCACGTGGTTTCACAAGTTTGAGGCAGTAGGTTAAAATACTGGACACACCCAAGCAAGTTTTGGTAGTTAATTTATTTAATTCAGTTACAGTGCTTCAGTAGGATGCTGCTTGTTTGCCACAAGAGCAGAGCCTTTCTGCCACTCCATGCAGCATCCACACCTATTATCCAGCTCTGGTAAACTGCAGCAGGCTCAGTGGAATTGGTCTCCTTTGTTCATCTGACAAGTTTTACCAGAGGCTCTCGTGGAATCAGAACTGGGTCAGCAATCTTTAGTTCAGTTACATCTCAGCAAAGTTTTATGAAATCATTTTCCTTCAGAGTACAGAGACCTGGGAACCAGGGAACTTTCACCAAAGTTGTTTTCAAAAGTAGTAAGTAACAAAAAAATCTAGAAACCTGCAGATTATAACAGCGGTAACAGCTCGACCGTGAGAGAAGAGGAGGAATGGTTCCAGTATCAAAGTCTGCCAGTGGTACCAGAGAGCAGCAGTGCAAGGTCACTCCCTGCTCCTGTAGTGACTCTCAATGGTGTCTGAGTTGAAGTACACCACGGTGACGGTGATGTCGTCCCGGTACATCCTGGCCAGGTCCTCGGGCAGGGTGAGCATGGCCGCGAGCTTCTCGGGGTCCACCTCGCCGTACTCGTTGCTGCCGATGGCGTGTCGGATCAGGTGGGTGGCGATGTTGCGGTCCAGGGAGGCCAGGCCTCTGCTCTTCCTCTGCAGCAGCAGGTTGTGCATATAACCCAAATTAACCGGCTTCTTAAAAGTCAGTTGTGGTTTCTGCACATTCAGCTCTGTGAGGTGCCCAGCAACGAGTTTGACAACCTTCTCATTGCTCAGCATCTCCCACAGCCCGTCCGAAGCAATAACTAGAAACTTATCCTTGCTCCTCAGTTTGTGGTATGTGACTTCAGGCTCTGCAGTTAAATAAGGGGGGGTGTGGTAGTTTGGAGGAACGTACTGATAAATGTTCAAAGCCTCGACATCACAGCTGTTCTCAAGGACACTGTGCTGCAATTCTTTACTCCATTTTAATTGCACATCTCCAAAGGCTCTGGAGGGCATGAGGATGCCCAGTAATCTGTCATTCACAAAGAGGGTTTTCTCCTCAGATCTAGGATGTTCTCTCTTCAATCTTCTGATTTCAAATTCATCACAGGCATTGTGGTCTCGGGTTAGAGGGAGAGTAGACCACGTTCCATCTTCTTCGTGAACCCCTAAAACCGCTCTGCAATCACCGGTATTTGCAACATGTAGGTGCACTCCGTCAACGTGAGCCACACAGGCTGTTGCACCAGAAAAGGCTACTTGGAGGGCGATATTTCTCATCAGTTCATTTTCCTGAGGAGCCTGAACTTCCAGGGATATGTCTGAGTCTAACCTTTTGAACGCACACACCATGGCTTCTTCTAAACTAAAGCCTGGCTCGGTGTCCAGGTCCAGCAGGTGCTGCCAGTACACCCGCAGGTTTTCGAAGTACCAGGAGGTGATCTCTCGGTACTCCACGTCATTGGGGTGCCTGTGCCGCTGCAGGATGGGCCGCACCGGCTTCATGGACTCCACGGCCAGCTCGATCTCCTCCAGGCTCCGGCGGGGCATGAGGGACACGGCGATGTAGTGCAGCAGCCTCTCGCTCACGGCCTGCGCGCAGGCGGAGCCCGCGTGGCCGTCGAACACCCCGAAGAGCATCCCCGCCGTCTGCAGGCAGGTGGCCGCGCTGCGCCGGTCCTCCATCGGGCTGTTGGACGCCAGCTGGTTGCTCTCGAAGCGCAGCACCGAACTGGCGCCTTTGCCGCTCAGATCCAGCGTTTTATGGGACAGTTCACCCGCTCGGAGGATGTCGTTGATCTGCGATGGAGACAGCTGGAAAGAGAAGTGTTCCTCCTCGGTGGAAGTGTGTCGGAATGCTCTCTGGAAGGGGAGAGGGCTGTCCACGCTGCAGCCCCCAGCAGGGAGGAGGGGTGTTCTGGAGACAACGAGCTTCCATTTTATCTTGTTCCTGTTTGGGATACAGAGGGAGTACCAACGTCCTTTCCCTTGGCAAACGATGCTGTTCCTTGCTGAGCTTAAGATCAAGGATGAGACAGTTCTTGACATCATAAGTCACTCCAGAAATAGAGCACCTGCCTCCAGTAACACAGAACGTCCTTACAGCCTGGAATACAAGTGTAGGAAAGGAATAAACTTTAGAAGGTTCACAAGAAACTTTCTATATTGCAATACAAAAGCACATCCAGAGCTCTCAGAAACATTCAGAACTTTATTCCAAAAGAGATCTCTATAAATGCAGCTTAAAAGTGATATAATTTCCATCACTTAAGGATATGACTGCCCCTCTCCAGTTAACTCACCAGAAAAGATAATTTTTACTTTCCAGGTTTTTCCTCCTTGTGGCAAGGCTCAGAAGAACTGGCAGCATTACAAGAAATGTTATGGAAAGTGCACAGTGAAAAGCCTCATCTAACATGACACAGAGCAAACAGATCCAACAAGCTGGAAAATGGGAACTTAACTGACAATTAATGCACCACTCTCAAAGAAGCCTGCTAGAGTACAACTCTATTAATAGACTGTAAGCATCAAACCCAAGAGAAGATCAGGACTTAAACCCTATGGAGAGACTGAAGGATGTGGCCAGTTAATGATTTATATGAACTACCATGATCCTCACGACTAGAACAGACCAGTCCACCTTTCCAATTCTGCTACAGCTTATAAGCTCAGCTGTTCTTCTTTTTTTACCCTCAAGGTCTTACCCAACCTTCAGCTGGCAGGACCTTTAACTCAGCTGAAGGCAGATTCCACAGCAGGCTCATCAACGCATTTACCATGGCACTGTGCACTTTGATGCAGTGAAAGTTATAACAGTTACATTGACAACTTTTACAGTTCACAATTTGGCTTGTTCAGCTGGGTGCAGTTGGAAGCAGCAGCTGTGAGGAGCTCTGCTGCCAACAGCACTGAAACCAAGGGCATTTGAACAGCTGAAGTTCTGCTGCTGCCAGGGGGAGGTCCATGCATTGTCTCCTACTTTCAATAAGGTATTCAGGCTGTGGGATAGTGCTAAGCACAACCAGATGCTTACTCACAACAGAATTTTGCCCCATGGATTTCAAAAATTCACTGTATGGTAGCACTGCAAGCACAATTACTCCCAAAAGATCCCACCAGCAGCCAGCCAGAACAACAGATTTCTGTGAGCTCTCAGTGACTTTCAGGTGGCCTCCCACGTGCTCTGGGTGTCAAAACAAAGACCCCACATGCTACTGCAGTATTGCTTTTTTAGCAGAGCACCTCACAAGGAATAACAAGAAACCAGCCAGATCAGACACATGAAAACCTTTCCAAGAAATCAGCAGGAGCTAAAATTGAATTTGAGCTATTCTGAACAGAAGGCCTACTGATACAAACCAAGGACTACTGAAATCCCATTTGGAAAACCAAAACGTGTCACAAAACATTTCTGAAGTGTGCTACCCATGCTTAACACAGAAAAGAGTGGACAACCATTCCAGCAGACCCCACTGCTGTAATTCTGGGGACCCTCTGAGGACAGGCAAAGACACAAATGTTACTGCTGATGTCAGGAGAGCAGATGGAAAAGGCAACACTAGTTCCCTGCTGAAGCTCTGCCTGCAGTCTCCTGGGCCACTGGCACCTCCAACACAACCTATGCCTTTTGTTGTACTGCAGAGAGCACAGCCAAAATAATAGGAAGGCAGCTGACACTGCCAAGTCCAGCAACAGCTAAACCCAAAAACCACCAACAGAAGAAGTCCTCATGTTTTCCAACCTTCTCCAGGCCATTCCCTGTCCTGTTTTTCCTTCTTCCTCTTCCTGCCCCTGTGAACCGTACAAGATTGCAACAATGACGACTTTCATATTCCTGATCAAAAAGCCGATTGAAACAGCATTTTAAACAAACCTCCCCTGTTCCCACCAGCTGGCTGACAGAGTGAGGCAGAGCAGTTTTCTCCTGGCAGCAGAGTTGCCAATACCATTCCCACACGTGGTTCCCAAGGTCAGGTAGCCCTGCTCAGTCCCCATTCCCTGCCCGTGACTGCAGAGCTGACAGCCTCGGGGTCCTCCTGCAGGGTGCAGGGGCTGCTGCCCCAGACACCCCCGGTAGCGGTGCTAATTAAAGCGATGTGCTGAACACCATTATGTAAGAGCCAATTACATAAACCCTCTCCAGCACCCGGCGCTGCCTCCCCGGGGAGCCGGTGTCCCACCAGAGCCCGGCCTGAGCCCGCAGGTGTCCGAGTGCTCGCTGGGGCACTCAGAGCACGAGTGTCCATCTCTCCCAGTAAAATAGCAGATATCCATTACATTTGGACTTACAGCCCCTCCAGACTCCCACAACCCCATAATGCCCTCACTCATGTTCCTGACACTGCCCACACCGACACCCACCCCACTGCCCCTGCCCCGCACACCGACACACCCCCTGTGTCCCCCACACACCGACACACCCCCTGTGTCCCCTCACACACCAACACATCCCCTGTGTCCCCTCCGACACCCACCACACACACCATACACATCACCCTGTGTCCCCACACACCAACATCCCCGTGTCCCCCACACCAACACACCCCTGTGTCCCCCACACCCAACACACCCCTGTGTCCCCCCACATATCCACCACACACCTCGACACACCCCTGTGTCCCCCCACACCCACCACACCCAACACACCTCTGTGTCCCCTCACATATCCACCACCAACACACCCCTGAGGTCCCTCACACCACCACACCAACACCCCTGTGTCCCCTCACACACATCAACACACATCGACCCCTACCCCAGCGCCTCCGCACCGCCCCAGCCCCTGCCCTGCCCACCGACACCCCCCTTGCTGCCACACACACCTCCTGTGTGTCCCCCACACACACCCTGTGCCCCACACACACCCTGTGCCCCCTCACACACACCCTGTGCCCCCAGACACACACCCTGAGCCCCTCCACACAGCCACCACACACTGACACACACCCCCTTGCCGCCCCCCACACGCCCCCTGCCCGCACACCCACCACATACCAACCCTTACCTCCCCACTGCCCCAGCCCCACACGCATCCCGCCTCACACACCGACCCACACACCCCCTGCCCGCACAGCCTGTGCCTCGCACAGCCCCCCTTTGTCCCCCCACACCCAACCATTACCCAGACACGCACCAGACACCAACCCCTACCCCGCACATCTCCCACCTCCCCGCTCCGGCCGCCCCTCCGCAGCCTCGCCAAGCCAGGCCCGGCCCCGCTCCCTCAGCCCGCGGCTCGGCTCCCCACAGCGCCCTGCCCGTCCCCGGCGCACCCACCGGCCGAGCACCGCCACACGCCGCCCGCAGTTCCGCGCTGGCCGCCCGGTGGGCGCGGACGGACGGACGGACGGACACGCCGATAGCGCGATAGCGCTGACCGACAGCCCCGCCGCCCAACCCGCCCTCGGCGCCCCGCCCCGGGCCCGCCGGGTTCCCGTCAGGACACGGCGGGGCGGGCGCGGCTCGGCCCCTCCGCCATGTTCCGTGTGCCCGGCCGGGCGCGGCGGCTGGGGCGAGCCTCGGCTGAGGGACCGGCACCTCCCGCACCCCCCGCACCCCGGCCGGGCGAGCCGAACCCCGGGCTCAGGCACCAGCACCCGCACCCCGCACCCCGGGCTCAGGCACCGGCACCCCCGCACCCCCCGCACCCCCGGCCGGGCAGGCCGAACCCCGGCTGAGGGACCCGCACCCCCCGCACCCCCGCCCGCCGCCCCCGAGGTGCTGAGGGCCGGGCCCGGCCCCGCGCGGCGCTGGGCTCGGGTGGAGCGCGAGAGGGAAAGGGAGCGAGTGGCACGTTAATAGAGAAGCACCAGCAAGGGTTTCCTTCTGTTAATAGCGTTCAAATTCGTTATTCCCTTGAGGCAGGGTCCGTCACTTCCTCGTTTCTTTTCAGCGCGGCTCTGCTCCGCAGTGCGGTGGGGGACACCAGCTGATGAGGCTCGAACAGCAAAGCCCTTTGGAAACCGATAGGCCATTAAATTGTGGAGAACAAAAAAGGTTCGTTTTGCTGACTCCCCGTTTTTGGGGTTTCAGATCTCCGCGTGACTTGGTTAAAATTTGTACTGAGTGGTTTTGGGCCCGGTAGCAGGAGGAAGGAATGGGCCCAAAGTGCATGGTGGTTAATGAGTTAATGAGTAGTGCCTGCAGTTAACGGAGGGGTTACTCGGTAGCCTCTGCTTTAACTTGGAACAGTCATTTTGGAAAAACAGGCTCACAAACAAGTCACGAGAGGCTTTGATATTAACACTTTTTATTGTCCTGGCTGTTTTGCTGTTGAATAATGTGGTGCGGGTGTCCTAGATGAGATGGATGTGCTCCAGGGTTATCTCACGTGGAAAGGTGTGAGATCATCTTCCCGAGCCTGAGCTCTCACTTGTTTGTTTTTGTTAGCACGACAAACACAGTTTCAGGTTGAATGGAAAGGCAAACAAGCAAGCAAACAAAAAAATCCAAGAAAATATTTTAGCAGGCATGGAAAAAAAAAAAAACCAACCTCATAGAGCAGCCTGAAAACTGCTCGTTTGTTCCTGCAGTCATTTCATAAACTCATATGCATAAGCTAAAGTGATTTGGGAACCAGGTAAAAGAGTGTGAAACAATTACCGGTCCTGCAGGAGAAGGTGTTGCTTTCATTCCACGTTTTCTAAACACAAGAGGGAATACCACATTGAAGGTGTTTGACAGGGCTGGATATTAAATTGAATTGAGATTTAGATTCTGCTTTGGAGTGTTTGGTTATGTTGGTGAGCCAAAGGGATATATAATTAAAGTCAAAATGCCACTCTCTGATATGAGCTGGGGAAAGAAACAGTATTGCTCAGCTTTGCCTTTAAGAATACCCAATAAAAATGCTTTGACTTTAGGAATATCTAATAAAAATGGCAAATTTCAGTAGCAACAGTGGCTTGGTTGCCATAGTGCTCTATTTTGCTCTATCTTCTTAATCTACATTGAAAAAATTATAACTTGAGTTTCTTTGAGTAAAACTAAGATTTGACTTTGCTGGGTATGGGCGAGCTAAAGTTCAGAATCAAATGTCCTGTGCCAGAAGAAAGTTCTTATTGGCATTCCAGGTATTGTGTTAAGGTGCAGTGATAGATTAAAATGCAGCAAATCCTATATTTAGATTTTTTCAAGGTATAATTTTGTCTGCTGACCTGTACAGTCAGCAACTCTGAATTTCTTTGGAAGTATATTCTTGTACTGATTTCCAGGTTGCTTCTTTAGGCCAGACTGCACTACTGGAGTTTCCTTCTTTCCCATGGAACATTTTTTTTTACCCCCCACCTGTTCATTTGGACAACTGACTGTGTCTGCTCTGGTGCAATTTGAACAGTTTTGAACAGTTTCTGCTCCCAGAAGCTGCAAACAGATGCCCCAGAGCAGGTGCTGGGATAAATTGCTTTCCACTGACTCCCGGATATTCCTGAAAGGCCCGAGACTCCTGATGCTTTGTAAACATTTCTTGTTATGGGGACACACAAAGATTAGAATCACTAAGCAAAACCAAATCCAACCAACCAAATAAAACCACCAAAAAAATGCAAAATACCCTAAAAACTCAAGAACAACAACAATAAAAAAACCCAAGAACAACAACAAAAAGAGGACGGTAGGAAAAACACTCCAACCCTGCAGCTCCATTTCACTTCTGCTGTTGCAGCAGAGGCTGAGCAGGGTGGCTGTAGCTGCAGGTTGATCTGAAGGCCCAGTTTAATTCCATGGAAATCCACTGGTGCAAAGGTCCATCTGATTGCTGCAATGGGATCTGACCTCCACGTGCATAATTTTGACTGGATGGTGCTTACAAGTTGGTTTGAGTTAAACAGAAATACGTGTTTGTTAAGGCTCTGTAAAAGTTAAGTTTAAATTTCCTGGCCACAGCTTTCAAGAGCAGGAAAGTCTTCTGGCTTGGTAAGAAGTGCTCATGAGTAAAAAAGGAATTGTATTTCTTTCCTCCCTCTCCTCCTTCCACCTCCTTCCCCTCCAAGGGATGAACAGGGTCTGAATTGCTACATTTGGAAGGGCTGCCCAGGGCGAGGGTGGATTCTTCTTGCAGGCAGTGCAGAGCAACCTGCCCCTACTAAATGGTCCCTTGTGCAGGCATGAGGAACTCAGAGAGGGAAACACATAACCTCAGGTACAACATCCTATTTTCTTCAGGCTTATCTCTTGTTTTTTCCTGGAATGTCCCTTTTTTTTTATCTTTCTGACCTTTGAACTCCACGGAAAGCACCATCTGCTGTTGAGGTACCTTGCAAAACCTTTCCCCTGAGGCTTTTATTGGGATTAATTAACACTCATAACGGAATTGATCATTATAAAGTATTGCTGGATCATACTGAAACTGCCTACAAATCTTTCTGCTTGCAAGAGGATGGGGAAAAAAACCCAGAAGTTGAAGTGTAACAATAGCTGTTAAATTGTGAAAGCTCAAAATTAAGGTAGTGTGCAGTTTCCCAAGCAGAGCCTAGAGAAGGGAAACAAGGAACAAAAAATTATAACTGCTTTATCAAGTTTCTTTTGTAAGATTGATTTTTATCTGCCAAAGGAGTCTCAAGGACTGCATAGATAGGGTCAACACAAGATTTTCATTACACTCAAGTCTTAAAAAAATTATTATAATTCAAATTAAATTCTCTCATCCGTTGTATTTCGACTGAATTTGCCTTAAAATTAATTTGAAGCGTTGTGGCAATCAGTGGACACAGAGAGCCACTAGATGGCATTTTTAATCTGCTTTTTTACAGCTGTGGAAGTTGAGTCACTGTCCTAAATGTGAGAGCTCCTGTGCCCTCAGCCAGGAGCTGCCCTCCCAGGAGCTGTAAAGCCAAGCCTTGCTGGTGTAGTTCCAGTCAGCCTCAGTCTCCTTCAGCACAGCTGCTAAAAGGACAGCACAGCACATGTTCTAGAATTGTTCAGTCTCCAAACAAATAGCAGTAATAGCATTAAATTGGAGCTTAGAGCTTTAAAACCGTACAGAACTTCAATATTTGTGCTTTTTAATTGGATGATCGGGGTCTGAGGAAACAGCAAAGAATATAAAATGCTTCCTTTTACATTTTGCTTCACCATGGTAAAAATTAAATAATGTTCTTCAATCCAACAACTGAAAAAAAACCCCATCTTGTAGGTAAATTCAAATTTATTTCTGAAGGAATAGGATAGTTCATTTTCCCCCTGGAACTGAACACCTTGGGGCAGTTGAGCATTTAAAGCTCTTTACAATAGCTGAGCTTTTACAATAACCTTGGGAGCTAAACATTATCCTTCTGTTGCTCATGCCTAAACCACCCTCAAAGAAGCTTAAGTACTGTGTTCAGGTCACAGAGAGGACACTCTCGGGGGTTAAATAAACTCCTATTTTATTTTATTAGACTGAGTGGTTCTGGCTGGGGAAAAACTGGACAGAGTTTTGGTGTGCAAGTGCAAAGTGTGGGAGACTGAGTGAACAGAGCCCTGTTTATAGATCTCAAATGAGAAAACCCCCTGAAAGCAGCCCTCAGTGACCTGCTCTGGGAACACTGCAAATAACAGTGATGCAGCAGTTCAGGGGCAGCTGGGTATGGTAATTAATATTCATTACATTTTAAGGAGGAAACTATTTGAAATCTGCCCCTCATAAAATGTATTCAGGCTATCAGATGGGTAAGGTTCTTTTGAAAGACCTTCTACATTTGAAAATATCTCTTCATGTAATTAATTTTTCTTAATTTTCACTGGGACATACAATTAATGACAACACTCATTTACCTTTGACTGAGTGAGAAGCTATCCAAGATACACAATATGTCAAAATTTAAGTGAAATAATTAAGCTGAAGCAGAAGCTGTTAATCCAAAAAGATGGGAAGAACTGCAACATAGACTAAAAATAGTTGTTTCTAGAATTTAAAAAACATGTCCAGAAACTTAGGAGTTACTCTTATAGCTGTACTTAGTAACTCTTATCGGTACTTAGACCATTCTACTGTAACTTAAAGTTTCCATGGAACTGAGGGTGAACAATCAAACATTCTTTGATCCAAAACAGATGCATCAGTTGAAAATACCCAACATCATTTCTCTTAATGAAAGTCCAAGAAAAACAGTAACGAGGGAGAAGTGAGTCTACTGAAAGTGAAGGATTAAGATATGCACACTCGGTTTTAAAGTCTCATTTATTTCATTTGTTAAAGAAATAAGATACAATAAATAAATTTCCTGCAACACCAGTTTGCATTACTAGCAAAGGTACATTCATGACAGCTGAAACCATTGCAGCTTGTAAGGATTTCCTGTAAAACAATGCTGAATTAGTCCTCACAACACCCCTGTGAGGTAGGTCAGTGCCACCCTCTTTTTGTGGAAGAGGAAGCTGAGGAACACCAAGTTGCAGTCCATGTCCCAGGACAGCCAGAGCTGAAGGTTAGAACTGTATCCTTCATTCCTTGCACTGTCTGTCCCTTTGGCCCTCTCTGAGATGGCAACAGCCCAGAGGAGCTGCTGCTCTCCCTCCTCCCAGCTTTCCTTTGCCTTGCACATCTTTGATTGCTCCCCTGAGCTGAATAAAGTGATAACATCACTCTGTCTGATCTATACACACCAAACAGGCCGTTTGAAGGCCAGAATGACAGTACAGCAGACCGTGGGTAATCACAGGTCACATCCCAGTATTTAGTGCCAGAGCCTGCTGTGTCACTGAGCTGCAGAGCAGTAATACCAACACATGGCTTTCCTAAAGCAACTCGCTTTTGGAGAGGTAAAAGGACTCAGGAGGGCGTGCAGGGAGCTCCCTGCCAGCCAGAGGGAAGGGATTTGTGCAGCAGTGCACGCTCAGTGCAGTCCAGATCTACCCACTGGGTCCCTAAAGTAAACAAAATACCCCTTTTCTGCAGGGCAGACAGCAAAGGAGGTCACACTGCAGAGCACAGCACTGAACTGAGGTAGAATTGGAGCCGTTTAGGACCACAGAGCACACACCTGGATTGCTGGAGATGTCCCCTTCCCCCATCTGAGCAGGGCAGCACAGCCCTGTGTGATCCGTGGGCTAAACAACACTGCGATAAAATGGCCTGCTTTCAAGCACAGCATTTACATTGGTACTTTGAGTTATAAAATAGGATCTTGGAGCATTAAGTTTAAAATATAGATCTAGTTTTCATCTAGTGCCTACCCAAGGCAAGAACTTTTCTCTAGTGCTACTTGTGCACTCTGACAGCACACAGCAAGAATACGGTGCAAGCAATGTTTAAATCAGAGCTCAGCAAGTGCTTACAACAGATTGGTAAGGAAAATTTAAGTCAAATTTACCCCAAATTTTTCATTACTGTTTCCTCACGTATTGAATGAGACCATTATTGTGACCATAGTAGATCGCTACGTAATTTCCTATTTTACATCAAGTTGGATTTTAATTGCATTTTAATTTTTTTTAGAGTTTCAGGTCTTGGACAACACTCTAGTTTACTCAGCTATCCCTTATATGAAATAGTGCTTGTTACAAAGATCCCATTTCTCAGAAGAACGAGCACTCCAAGTAAAGCAGCAAACCAGCAGATTGTTCCCCTCCCGGCAGAGTGTTCATGGAAATGCTTGTCTTGTGTGTTCCATGAGCTGTCTGGGGACCAGAGTTCCTGTTTAGAGTACCTCAGAGGTGGAAGCTCTTGGATATCCCAGGGCCATTCTGAGTTTTGTTCAGGCCTTGAAGGAAGCTCGAACAACTCTGCCCTTGAGAGGCTGAGGGGGGCGGAAATTATTTGCCATTTGGACCCTCTGGTCCTCCTCGCTGGTGAAGAGGAGCATCCGGAACTTCTCCAGCTGCAAATTCAGGGGAAATAATTGACTGCTTAAGGGGACAATCAATGGGAATGGGCTTTAAAAGGGACCAAGGGAAAGTGTTCATTGTATTTTAATCGATTAATAGAGAATATTAACAGCAAATAACAGAAGCCCTGATTATTGAACAGGCTGGATATTCAGTGTTGTAGCTCAGCCCCATTTCAAATCAAAACAGTCACTGCCTGCTTATCCAGCACTGAGTTCTACAAGAACAGAGAGAATGTCAACAGTTTACCTGTTTCTCAGAAATTCTGATGGGTTCTTTCAGCACTATCCATGTTACACTCTCATTAAGGGGTGGTGTTGTCAGAGAGCCAAGGTATGTCCAATAATCAAGACTCAAGGGCAGGAGACACTTAGGGTCGAAGCTTCCAAATTGAGCTTTTGTTCCCTGGGGAAAAAAAAAAAGGCTTGATATTTATCTTTGTACTTTTAAGTGCAGGTTAAATAACTTTTTTTGAAAGAGAAAAATAATGCTGAAGTAATATTAAAAACTAGGGGAAAGCTCTGTAAAGGTTTGGCTGCTTTATAACAGCTGTTAGATGGAAGCAGCATGGCAAGTGTGATTTCCACTGCTGGATTGCTGGACTGTGAGGCCGTGTCTCAAATAGGTACATGTGCTTGCTTTCTAAAGGATACCCCAGAAATGAGTTTAAAGAGCTGAAAACTTACTTTAAATTTTACCATGTACAAAGCATCGGTGAGTCTGTTCATACCAGCATGTTCTTTCCCAATCTAAAATAACAGAATAGACAGGTTAAATAAGAAGAACTTAAACTGTGCTGTGAATAGGTGTTTTCTTATCTGAATCTCAACATTCCCACTAAAGTTTAGCAGCAATTTGCAATGGGTTCCTGCTTCCAATAAGTCATCTGTTTTCCTTAAGCACCTCTTAAATGTGTGGCGTGCTCCTCAAACACTTGACAGCATGATGCTTTTCAGCGTGTAAATATGCTATTTTTACCATCCTTACCTCCAAGAAAACACCAACTACTGCCAGGCCATCTGGAGCTGCTGCTGCTTCTCCAAATGTTGCATATTTTCTGCCATTCCAATGAACTAAGTGGAGCTTCAAAGAAAAATAACAGATAGAAATGCTTAGTGGTAGAAGCTGTGAACGTGGTTTCCCTCACGTTAACAGCACCAACAGCCGTTCTCAGCACAACAGTGGTGTGCAAAAGGCATTGCTGGAAACACAAACAAGTTCACCCTTTTGGGCTGGTCCCCAAGTGTGGACAGGACTAAACAAGCTTTCTAAATATCAGCCCACACTGCAGTGGCATGACCAGGTTTGGTAGTGGGGGAGCTACAGGGGTGGCTTGGGGGAGAATTTGCCAGAAGCTCCCCAGGCTTATGACCCCATGGGAGGGACCCCTTCTGGAGCAGTTGTGTCTCAGCTCAATGAGACTGAAGTGTTTGGCTGAGGAGGATGAGTTAGGAGGAAGCTCCTCCCTCTAAGCAATTGTAAATCCAAAATTAAGAGGCTCCAGTTGAGGAAGTGTGGAGAAAGGAAAGACAACAGCCCTTTATTATAGGATAGATGTGTATGGGCAGAACAACGAAAGAGCACAAAAACAACCAAACAACAATCCTGGACCCAAAGTTCCCTCAAAAAAACCAAACAAACCCAACCAAACAAAAAAACCAACCAAACACAAACTTTCTGCCTTTCAGCGCAATTCCAACCTCGGCCAGCAGGGGGCGCTGTTGGGCCCCAGTGCTGGGGAGGGAGAAAGAAAAGGGGGGAAAAAGGGGGGAAAAAAGGAGAGAAAAAAGGGGGGAAAAAAGGGATTCTTCCCGCAGACTCGCGCTGTCGGCGGCTGCCGTGTCCGGGATTTCCCTCTTTTCGCCGACAGGCACAAACCGCAGCCGGCTCGGGAGCAGAGGAGGGAAGAGGCGGCCTCGTCCCCAAAGGCTCCTCTGCAGAAGGGCCGAGCCCCAGCAGGTCGGGCTGGGGCAAACAGGGCACAGAACGGAGCGAACCGGGGCCTCAATGAACCACGGAACCCCTCCACACACACCCCACCCTCCCTGAGTCACGGCAAAAGGGGAGTGACAATGCAAGGAGAGCGGAAAAACCTTACCTCCCCGTCACAGTCTGAGGGCCATCAGCCTGGAATGCAAGGCTGCCACTGCTTCTGTTGTGTGTGTCAATCATCCCAGCCAAAAAAACCCACCCTCTCCCTCGTTCAGCATCCCTCTTTCACGATGATGCAGGGGAAAGAGTAAGTTCCCAATTGGTTTTTCAGAACAAGTTCTAAACTATTACAAGTTCCTGAAGGGCCGAACCCATGGGAGGGACCCAGGCTGGAGCAGTTCCTGAGGGACTGACCCCGTGGGAGGGATCCACTCTGGAGCAGTTCTGAGGGACTGAGCCCATGGAAGGGATCCACTCTGGAGCAGTTCCTGAGGGACTGACCCCGTGGGAGGGATCCACTCTGGAGCAGTTCCTGAGGGACTGAGCCCATGGAAGGGATCCACTCTGGAGCAGTTCTGAGGGACTGGCTGTCTCTCGTGGGAGGGACCCCACCTGGAGCAGGGGAAGAGTGTGAGGATCCTCCACTGAGGGGGAAGCAGCAGCAGAGACAAGATGGGATGAACTGCCCACAGCCCCCTGCACTGCTCAGGGGAGGAGGGAGAGAAAGTTGGGAGTAAAGGAAAGCCCAGGAAGAAGGGAGGGGTGAGGAGAAGGTGTTCTAAGATTCAGTTTTTATTTCTCATTATCCTACTCTGATTTGATTGGTAATAAATTGGTGATTTCCCCCAGCTGAGCCTGTTTTGCTGTGTCACTAACTGGTGACTGATTTCTCCCTGTCCTTATCCTGTCCCACAAATGTTTCATTGTATTTTCTCTCCCCATCCAGCTGAGGAGAACAGTGATGGGTCAACTAACACACAACTTTAATTTGAAACAGATCAGGCCTTCCCTGGCACAGGCCTCCATCCTCCAAAGCACTGTGCTCCAGCACTCACTGCTAGACCCCAGGATGCTGCATTCCCATGGTGTGTGGTTGGATTGTTCTGGGAAAGCCTCGTACCTTGTCCTGGCTTTGCAGCACTTTCTCAAGAGCCCCCATATGAAGCCATTTCCAATCTATGGGTAACACCAGCTCAGAGTCTGGGCTGCCCTGACCACAGGGAGTAAGCAATCAGAACACTGATCCTGTCCCCACTGCACTCACAGTCATCTGTCAGCAGCATTTACATGAAATAACCCCAGTAAAAACCCCAGTTACCTCACAGGGAAAAGGTTTGCCATCAATCGTGTGCTCTGAGCCCTGGCTGTGGGTTCTGCCCCAGTGAAAGTGGAACTGCTTCAGCCGAAATGGGTTCTGGAAGGGCCCACCACTGATTGCTAGGCAGGAAAACACAAGAAACAGAAAGAAAAAAGCTTTTTAGCTCCCTGCTGGTAAAAACCAACTACTGTTGGCACAATAGTAGAAAAAGACCAGCAGCCTCTGCCAGCATGAGATGTATCACCCACACAGTTAGGAGGGCTGGATTTATTAATGGAAAGCACCTGAAGTCATGGAGAAATCCAAGTCAAAAAACATTGAATGGCTACCTCTCCAGAACTTTGTGGCTTTCTTGGAAGAGCAGATTTGACATAGGAAGGTGTGGTAGCCATTGTTATGGTGTTTATTGTGTTTAACTGTGGGACAGGCTGAGAGCAGCCCTGGGAGAAGGCCCTGGGGGGCTGGTGGGGAGAGGTTGGACATGAACCAGCCCAGAACCCCCCGTGCCCTGGGCTGATCCCCCAGCGTGGGCAGCAGGGCAGGGGGCATTCTGCCCCTCTGCCCCTCAGGGGAGACCCCCCTGCAGAGCTGCCCCAGCCCTGGGAACAGCACAGCAAGGACATGGAGCTGCTGCAGAGAGTCCAGAGGAGGCACCAAGGGGATCAGAGGATGGAGCAGCTCTGCTGGGAGGAAAGGGGAGAGAGCTGGGATTGTTCAGCCTGGAGGAGAAGTCCCAGGGAAACCTTACACCCTGACCATCAGGCAGACCATTCAGCTAAGTATTTCCTTTTTACAGTATCTTTGCTTCCAGTGGAGGTTATCTGTGTTCCCTTTCCTTTAAATACCTGATCCCATAAAAGAGGTAATGTAATAGCTGCTCCTTCACACGACACCACTCAATCTCCAATCACCTTATAAAGGTAAGGAAATGCTACAGAGAAACCTAAGTGTTATTTCTAAATGATGTATGAACAGGGCAATGTTTAAGGTGCCACCTATAGAAGATACTTGATCAACAGCATCAGTAACCCCTCCTGTAACTTTATAGGGCACCAAGTCTAATACACTTTGCCCAACAGACATGAAAACCCAACCAAAAAGTCTTACATTAAGAAAATGAAAATTGTATTTAGTATCTGTAAAGCATCCTCATTGTAGCAAAGGTTTTAGTTCTAATTAAGAATATAAATATCTCCCAGTATGTTTTCCTGAGCTTAGCAAAGGAATGCATCACCTGTCCCAAATATTGTAAGAAATTAGCTATGACGGGTTACTCTCCAAATTCTGTTGTGCCAGTTATGCAGAGCTGAGTCACTGGATCTATTTCAACACAACTAAAACCTGTTTAAAACATATTTTCCACTCCTAGCAATCATCTTCCATGGAAAAGTATTACTAAAACAAGTACTTAGTGTGGAAAGGGCAGAGGTTTCATTCCTGCATCTCCTCTGAGTCTGTATCTCTAAATGCAGAGTAATGATGTTCAAATTCTAAAGCTGAATAAAGTTTCCTGTTACAGAGATAGAGTTCAGCTGAAAATTGCATGAAAGTAGCCAGCAAGCTGAGATAATCCTTCCAGAGATATTTTAAAAACTCCCTTTGTAGGGAGACAGGCTGAATGGATCTGTGCAGTAAAAGTGGAAAATGCACATCCAGTCTTTTCCAATTCAATTAACTGACTCTTCCACAGGGCAGATTCTTAAATTCATTCCAGAAGAGAAATTTTAAAACAAAATGGCTTGAATTTCAACCCCTAGCCCTTATTTCAAAGGGTTACCAGCACAGACAAGCCACTTCACAGAAAGAGTAACTTGCTTTGAATATCCAGATATTCCATTTAGGCAGCATCAAGCAACACCCAAAAGGATGATGGAATCAGATGATACATTTAAATGCTGTCCAGAGTGGGGTTTTTTTAATGCACTCTTCCCATTTATCAGCTACTTTATCATCTCCATTTGAATGCTTTTCCCCTGCCTCCAGATGTAAAAGCAAGGTCTTCCATGGAAGTAGAATTAACAGGGGAAACAATCAAACCCTTAAAGCTTTTGCATTCCCTGCCAAGAGCTGAGACAAGGATAATGTTCAGCTGCAGACAGTCCAACATCCACAGGCTGCTACAAACTGAGCATTAGCTGAAGGTTTTATAAATTCTGCAGAAACTGAGCTGCTCTGAGGCAGGGAGGAAAGAAAGGAGTGCAAGGTGACAGTGACTGCCCAGACCCCACTCGGTGCAGTGGCTGTGATTACGATGACCATCCTCCTATGACCCGTTTCTGCTAATCCTCTTCTCCCTGTGGATGGAAACTGGGCAGTGAGCCAGGGCTGGCACGTGAATTAGTGTCTTTGGATGAGCATGGAACAGGGCAGTGAGGAGCTGACACACCTACTCTGCCTGCTGGATGTGGTCTAGGAGAGATGGTGGAGAGATGCAAACATTCCCTGTCCTGCAAACTCCAAACCTCATTCAAAAGAAAAGCACTGCAAAGAAATTTCTGGTTTTCCCAGTGCAAGAGGTTTTCCTACTGCAGGAACACTATTCTGCTCTGCAATATTGCACAATTAGAGATGCTCAAAGTGAGGAGAACAAACATGAGCCCTGAGAAGACAGAATTCTGAAGGGCTTTGATCATATGCCTTGTTCTAACTGAAATCACACACTGCACAGGATGCACACAGTTGTCTCCCCACGTCACAGGGGGTGTTCTAAGTTAGTTGGCTGTGTTCTCTCACCTGCCTTGTCATCAGTATCTTCAAACTCCACCATGACGGAGTGGCCAGTGTTGGAGATGCTGAGGGACGTGCAGGACTCGTAGGAGATGATCAGGGGCTTCAGGTTTGGGTCATAAACTGCTCTGGCAGAATCAATGTCAATGGGGGACTGGCGGCTCCCCTGGGCAATAGGGTAGGATTTGTGCCACTCTGAAGGTCCTTCAGAAGGAAAGAAAGGAAAGCATCATCATTTCCCTCCTACTAAACACAAAAAATCTTTCACGATGGGCTTTCACGAGGCTTGAAGTAAAGCTTGCTCAGCAAGGGAGAGTTGAATGTTTGCTATCTGAGAAATCCATTCCAGTTCTAAGCTGGTGTGTTTTTATCAGCACAAACAGGCTGCAACAAGATGGGGACTCAAATATCTCACACCCAACACCCTGAGGAAACCATGGCACCTCAACAGACTGCTGTACCTGCAGCTACTCGGGTCACTCACTTCTGCAGACTCTGCAGTTCCGTGGCTGAGGTGTCTGAAGGGCTTCCAAGGTGGGTGCAGGTGTAAACATTCCTGCACACACACACACACACACACTCCCCCAAGGAGACAGCAGTTAATTCTTCCTGGGGAAGAGAGTGTAAGAGCTCCAGCAATTCAAATGAGATGCAGATGACTCAACCCCTTAGCTACTGACTGTGCAGTTATTTTTAAAATCCTTTTATGACTGCAGTAAATCTTGGAGGCAGCTCCATTCTTCACTCATGCCCATTATGGTATCTCCCTAACCCTGAGTGAAGGGTACACCGTGTTCATTAACATTTTTGGATGTCCTGACCTCAACAGAGTGTGGAGAAAGACCAATCTAATAACACAGCTCTGCTGCCAGAGCTGGAAATTCTTATACCCTTTGAGATAACAAAAGCTTATCCACATCAAAGAATTTCTTATGCCTGATTTTCTACTTTGGCATGGTAGTGCAAGCAGCAAGTAAATTCTTCTACTGCTTCTGTTCATGAAGTATTAACAGTAACAATCTTGCTTCCAGATTCTCAAGAAGCACATTTTTAACTGTAGCATTCTCACGGACTTTCACAAGGGGAAGCTTTTTTAATCAAGCACAGGTATTCAGCCTCCTTGAGTTTACATAACAAAACAGTGATCTATTATACTCTTATTTGGCTTTGGCATTTTCTGCAAAGCTAAGCTTAGAAAATAATATCTTTTCTCAGCCTGCCTGTAAAGCAGATTTAGGAATTAAATGCTGTTAGACAAGCTAGGGCAATATCATTTGGCTCTCAAGCTTCATAAGAGCATATATGGCTTTATTACTACTCCTACCTGCTCAAACATAGCATCTACCAGCACTAACCAGCTTCACTTACAATTCAACCTTGCTTTTGGACTCACAAAAACCAAAGGAGTTGCTGTTAAGAGTCTGGCCCCTGAAGGTTATGCAGAAGACTCTTGTTGGGCACTCAGCAGCTGAAATAATTGCTGCCAAAAGAGAGAGAGAGGCTCCTGAAAGTCGTGCAAAACAGTGTTTTATTGGACAGCACCAGCCACTCATCCAACCCTCCTCTGAGAAGGAGCAGGCACTGCAAAACACAACTGTGGGAATCTTTCAGCAGCTTCCCATTTCCCTCTGACACATCCTTGGGGGTGGGAAGCAAGGGAGGACGACTAAATTAACAACTGTCAAATCAGAGAGCATAAGTTGTTCTGCAAGAGATCTCTGATACTGATCTGTACAATTTAGTGATGTTCTAGACATATTTAACATATAACTTATTCTATTCACTCCCGTGGAAGCCCAGAGATCACGTTTCAACAGCTGCACAGAAGCAGGAGATCCGTTACTGCTCTACTAAATCTTCGTTGCTTACAAGAATTGCTTGTGGAGAGACAGACACAGTTAATCTTCTTCATAACAGCTTTTTGGAAAGGGACCCATCTCTGCAGCCTGAAAAAAACCCCCACTCAGTCCTGCTTCCCTCAGTTCAGGAATGCTGATTGCAACAGCAAAAGGCAGCAGGCGCAAGCCTGGGCACCTTGTGGTGCCACTCTCTGGGTGCTATTGATTATCAGTAAAGTAATTAATTACCTGCTCTATATACTTGATGCTTTTGCAGACCTCGAAATGCAGGCAGCTCTGCAGGGCTCAGGCAACAGCTCTAGAAAGAAAACGAGTGGGGGGAGACAGAGAGAGATGCAGCAGAGAAATGCCAGGACCTACCGTCATGCTGCCCGTATCCCCAGCTGCGCTGGCCGGTCATGGCAGAGCGGCACCCCCGCCTCGCTGCAGCTCCCCGGGCACGGCACTCCTCTCACCTGCCTTTATAGCGGCTCACCGTGGGGTAGGGTCAGCCCCTTAAAGATACAGAGCAGCCACGGCAATTCCTGCAGGACAGGGACAGCCTTTCTGCTCCTGCTCCTGTCCGGCTCCCTCTATTTGCTAAGGCAGCACAGAGGCAAAAGAGAAAACTGAGATAACTGAAGTCTCAGGACTTCGAGAGGGAACTGTTCAGGTGACATGCTGTCCTAGGACCTGCAGATCAAATTCAGGCAAAACCAGCAGTGTTTTCCCATTCTCCTCCAAAGCCACAACTGCTCCGAGCACCAGGCACGGTGACACGTGCAGGTGGCAGTGGGACCTGCCCTGCTCACCTCTGTGCTCTGCCTCTCTGTTCTCAAACACTCCCTCCAGCTGCAGAAAAGGAGTGGTGTTTTCACCTGATTTGTAATTAAAACACAAGAACCAGTGATTAGATGGGATGGAGAACATTCTCATCTCAGGGCAAATTACCTGTGCTACTTTTAAACCAGGTAAAAATGCCATAAACTAAGGATGAACTGGCAATCTGATTTTATTTTTCTTTGTAACTTTGAAGAAACTTTTTAAATAGACAAAAAGGAAAGTGTGGTTATATCAGGGAACAGAACACAGCAGAATCCAGAGAAAGGAGGTGATCTGTGAAGCCTCAGTTACCTGGAATGATCCAGTACCTGTACCCTGCTAAACCCATGAAGAGGCTACAGTGAGACACCCAATCTGCAGCTGTAAAATGACTTAAGACATCTCTGTGGCAAGGGAAATGGCTCTTTGGTCACAATTTTGTTGCATCCAAGCAAATGCTGCCTGTCAAGGCTACGTTTTATAAACATATTGATTTTCACAAAGACAACAGCACACAAAAATAGGGATTCTTCTATTATGCCATCAAGACCATGGAAGGAAAAAAAAATCAATAAGAGTATTTTATACAACTGTTAAGTTCTGGTACTGCCTTGTAAGAATTAATTTCATTCTTCAGGAGGTTTTGGTAAGAGTCAGCTATAAAACCTCGGAGAGCAGCTGATGCAAGCTAAATCACTCAGTGAGGATGTAAACTGCTCTGAAGGTCTCCACAGGAGAGTTCTGTGATGACTCGCTCAGCTCAGCTTCTCAAGTAATTTCTATTGACCTGTGGGATGTGCTCGGGTGCCACACGCACAGCTGGCATCACAGCACAGACCTGGTGGGGACCAAACACGGGGACCAGCACGGCCAGGGGGTCAGAAACACCCCCAGCCTGCCAGGGAGGGGATTGTCCCCCTCTGCTCTGCCCTGGGGCGGCCTCACCTCAACATTGGGGCACTTTGGGGGGACACAATGGAAGGGAGAGATTGAGCCATTGGAGTGAGTCCAAAGGAGGGACACGGAGATGGGGAAGGGCCTGGATTTGGAGCCGTGGGAGGACACTGAGGGCACTTGGTGTGTTCAGCTGGAGCAGAGGAGACTGAGGGGAGACCTCCCTGCAGCTCCAACTGCCTGGGCAGGGGCAGAGGAGGGGCAGGACTGAGCTCTGCTCTGGGGGGACCAGGGACAGCCCCCAGGGAATGGCTGGAGCTGTGTCAGGGCAGGCTCAGGGTGGATCTCAGGGAAAGGTTCTTCCCCCAGAGGGTGGTTGGCACTGAACAGGCTCCCCAGGGCAGTGGGCACAGCCCCAAGGCTGCCAGAGCTGCAGGAGGGTTGGGATGATGCTCTGGGGCACAGGGGGTGACTCTTGGGGATGGGGCTGTGCAGGGCCAGGGGTTGGACTGGAGGATCCTTGTGGGTCCCTTCCAGCCCAGCATAGTCTGTGAAAATACTCTGCTCTTAGCAGGGCAAATGAGCTGCAGGGAGTTGTGCTCCTGTGGTTCTCACCTGTGTGTGGCTCTGTGATGTGTTGGTAGCCAGGACAGCCAACTGGAGACAGCCAGTCAGATGAACACAGTCAGATAAGCTGTTCTAGACCATGGGGAAAAGTACAAAAAATACCAGTGAAAAGAAAAGGAAGAGAAAATTTGTAATGTTAAAAGAACAGGCAATAAATTGGAGAAACCCATATGTAAAACAGAAAATACTGTGCAACTGTTTTCAAGAGAAACTTGAAAACCGGGGCCAGGTCAGCCATTGCAGTGCCCATTTGACACCATTCACCACTTCAGCCTCTATCTTCTCACATTCAGCCCCACACAGATGTCTGCATATTTGGACCTTAAAAACACGGCACATGAAGAGTTCTGAGACAAGTGAAAACATCCTGAAGGCATGGCAGGAAATAACTCCACCAAATGGAGTTGTAAAGGGTTGGATTTAGGAAAAATGAGAAGGGGGAATGGCAATACTCGAGAGGAAAGGAAGGACAGCCTGAATAAAATTTTATCTATAAATGATAGCCACTGTGTATGTGACAGTTCAATGTGCTCCCAATCCAATCAGCCTTCTTGCTTTTTAAGGAAAATACTAAGATTTCCTTAAAGATATTCTGTAGCCCTGATACCTCTGGACAGGGGCTGACTCTAAGAATGGATTTTCACTGATTCTGTCCTCAAATCGTCACTTGTTGTTTCAAAGTTGCAGCCATGCAATTCTGTTCTCAGTTTTACTGGGTTGAATCAAGGATGATTATATCTCACTCATGCACTTATGGAAGTCAGAGCCACCGAGTGATGGGTGCTTAAAGGGTGAATTCCTCCAGCTCAGAGCTGAACGTGAAATACTCGTATTTCCACAAATTTCTCACGGGCTTTTCACTCCCTCTCAGAAGTGTCTGCTAAGCAGTGAATGACAGGAAGGCATCATTCCATTCACTACAGTGAAATGTTTCAGGCTACCTGAAAGAATAAATCTGTCTTCCCCAGTCCTCATGCTTCTGGTTTTGTTCCCCCTTGACAGCAGTGATGAGTGAGCAGAGCAGCAGCCTGGGACAAAACAGGGGTTCTTCTGAACCTGTCACCAGTTGTGATACAGAACTAACAAACAAATTTCTTTCCCCATCTCTGTATGTGGAATAATTTTCTTCATGATTTAATTTGAACTCTGTTTATTAAAATTGCTGTATAAGAACTAACCATTATGGTTAGAAAAGTAAGACTGGAATGCTGACTTGAAGCTGGACATGGTGAGCTTTGCAGGTTTGAGGAAAGTGGATTTTTGAATCTTTAAGGCAAGCTGTCCCTATTATAATACAGGTCTGGAGTCACTGGGAAGTTTTTCCACAAGGAGATGTCACTTGAGCATAAAGCTTTTGCTACTATTAGTGCATCACTGTGGAGGGACAGAGCTGCAATTTAGGAGATGGAGAATGAAATGAAAGTTATTTGGTTCCAAGGTGAATGGCTCAGTGGCACTGCAAGTGTATTTACTTAAGTAATTTGGCAATTACATTTTGCTGAGCATCATTAATAATGGTGACATACATTTGAACAAGGGGTCGTGTGCCTTCTTGAATGCATATGAGCGTGTCTGATGTGTCAGTGCCTATTAACAAAAATAGGGCAGAATTACAGTCAGTTTGAGTACAGGCTGCACACTCCAGAGCCTCTGATGTACAGGAGGCAGGAGCAGATGAAATGTTAAAACATTCATCACTCCAGAGCTTGTCTACACCTCAGGTTCTTGAAAGAGTATCTTGTTTATCCAGGCAGCTCATCTCCCTTCTTACATTGCATTAGGGATGCTGGCAGTTCCCAAACAGGAGTGACACTCAGCTGACATCTGTTCCTCATGGCTGTGTTAAAATACTTCATAACGAACCCAGGAACTGCACAAAACACTTCACATGGTGAATATAAGCAGAACAGCTATATGCCAGCACTGAGCACTGAAAGCAGAATGATTCTAGATATTTTTTTTACTATTTTTTAGTAGTTTATTTAAAAGGAGACTGCCTACAGTTGTTGATTGACCAGAGACATTTCCTATTTTATATTCTCATGATTTGCTTTGTAAACACAAAAATGTGAGGGCTGTATATTGATATTGTCATGCATAAGTGTGACTTCAGGAGCTGAAGGTGGTAATCCTTCTCCCACAGCTACAGAGTGAGAGTCGTGAGACTTCTAAGGGAAAAAACTCAGCTGGGAATCTCTTCCTGGCATCAGGGGGAAAAAGGGTATCTGAAAAAGGGATTAAGAAGAAAAACCAAAAAGGACACACATAAGGTTAACAATCATGCAAGAGAAAAAGCTTGAATCAAATATAGGCCAAGATGGCCAAGTGAATAGAAGGAATTTATCTGGAACATTCTTGGGAAAGTGGGGCAGAAAAAGAGGAAGGTGGTACCTGGTTCCCTAGAAGTTTCCCAGCCATTTTTTTATTACTTGTCTTTGACTTTGAAAACTATCCACACTTGGCTGCCCCATGCCAGAAACAGGAACTACGTTTTGGAACTCAGCCTGAAATACTAATTCTTGTAATTTATGGTGTCAGGTGAAACAGTGTAGCAGAGAGCAAGAACAGAACAGACTGCTTTGGATTTCAGGAAACAGGACGTCCCTGTAACACTGCAACAACCACTGAAAGGGCAGCAGGAGGAAGGATTTACTGGGGCACAGCAAACACAGAGCCTCAGAAAAATGAACTTTGGTGGAGATGCTGGGAAAACAAAAAAGGAAGCACTGTATTGTAATACACCACCTGCTAGATATAAACCACTCAGTGATAACTGCCCTGCTCTGTACATCTTCCCAGCACACAGAGAGCAAATTAATTTACTGAAGAGAGGCAGATTAGAAGGATAACACCCTTGTACGGGCTAACAAATCAGCTGGAATGGTGCACAGATTTTAGGACCTCTCTTTTGTTGTTGAAACTCAGTGCCAGAAACTTTTGTTGAAATTTTTTCAAAATGTGGGATTTTTCTCTTTTTTTCTACACTGTCATTCTACAACTAATACTGACCCTATATGGAAAGATCTTCATAACAGAAGTACACAAACACAAGAGATTTCAGATGTTCTTTTCTCAGTACTAAGCAGGATAACTGCAATAATGTGCAATATCTCTGGAAAATATATCTAACTGGATTTGCTTTTTCATCTTCTGTCTCAGTTTGCTTGAAAATGCCTCCATTTCAAAAAGTGGGTTGAGAGATGCAGAGAAATGCCTGTTTGAAACATAAATTGTGGTAATGGCAGTGTTGTCCAGAAAGATTGGATTTGTTACCCAGTGTGCAACAAGCCAATAATTACACACTCAAGAGAGACATTGATTATTTATTTCAGAGTTCCTCAAGCCTGGATTCCACAATTCAAGCACAGCAACTATCAGAACTTTCTACTATTTATACATTTTAGCAAGCAAAGGCATTAATGTCCATTGGCTACAAGTTACACAGTTCTCTTATTAATTAGTATTTTATCTCCTATTGGTTAATGACTCTTCGCTTCTCATGCTAATTAGTGCCATGCTCTCAGTCTTCCTCTTCTGTTGAGTCAGGGGGTTCCTTGGGTTGGTGGTCATGACCTGCCCCTGCTGGAATCACCCTTTGCCCAGCTGGAGCTGATTCAGCACAGTCACTGAGTTGTCTTTATTGGTTTCTTCCTTATGTCGGGGATTCTGCCCAATGTCCTTGTGACCTGTAAGTTCTGCATTCTTTGTGTGCCCCAATCAGTGGTACATCCTTCTTGCCAAGCCTTGGTAACCTCCCCTAAGTCTGAGATCACTGAAACACGTCCAGCCCTCAACCTTAGCAAGGCAATTCTAGTAATTCAAGTAATTTGTCTTTCTAACTAATACCTGGACATCACTTAGCGCTTGCTGGCTGCTCTCTGTTCCACAGATTAAATCTCCCTCCTTGTTGATTAGGCTTGAAAGTATACAGTGATTAAGCATCAAAGAACATCCTTTCCTAAGAAAATTTCATATATTCCACATTTTACACAGTTCTGTACGTAATGCTCAGGTGCTTACATAGGGTGTGTTTAGACTCTCGATGAGGTCTTTTGAGTAGAATCCTGTAAGGAATGGGGTTCCTATGAGTGCTGGATTGCTGATTGTTAGGCTTCAGGTGGTTGTTGTGTTTTTTGTGGGCCTTCTGTCGTTTGAGCCTTTTTCTCTCCGTTGAGTCTGTGGACAATGGACCCTGAGCAGAGTAATAACATCGTGCTAAAGAATTCACGGGTTGGGATGCGGAGGAAAGCTGGGCGGGACAGGTTTAGTCCGACTGTGAGTGTTATTAGGCCTAATTGCCTCGATGCGGAGAAGGCAATGCTTTTTCTGATACCGTTTAGCGGATGTGGGGGCGAACAGCGCTGAGAAGGCGCCGAGGAACGGGCCGGGCAGGGCCGTGCTGGGGACACGGGCAGTGCGAGTGAGGGGCACGCTGCGGTGCGGCTGTGTCTGCAGGGCTCAGCTCCGCGGGTACCGCTCTCAGCCCGTGCGAGAGATGGCGAGCAGCGCTTTTTCGAACGTAAACCGCGAATAATGTCCTGTTTCGGACGCGGCCCTGAAGGGAAGGGCGGCCCCGCTCGGGCCGCGCCGCCTCCCTCGGCCCGCGCGTGCGCGGCGGCAGCGGCGGCCATGGCGGGGCCGGGCCGGGCCGGCTCCAAGGAACAGCGCTACGACCGCCAGCTCAGGTACCGGGACAGGGGCAGGGGCTGGGAGGGGGGACAGGGGCAGGGGCTGAGGGGGACAGGGACAGGGGCTGGGAGGGGGGACAGGGGCACGGAGAGGGGACAGGGGCTGGGAGAGGGGCCACGCCGGCCCTGCCCGGGGGGAGAGGGGCCGCGGCTCGGTGTGCTCAGCCCGCGGCGGGGAGAGGCCCCCGGGACGGGCTCTGGGCCGGGTCCGAAGTGAGGGCAGCCCGTACCGCGCCCCCTGTGAGCAGCGCCGTGAGCGCTTGTGCCGGCACAGGGGGAATAATGAATAAATATTAATGTATGTGTATGTTTGGCACCCCCACTTCAGAGACAGGGAGAGAGATACACACATATATTTGTGTATGTGTATCATAGAATCAGCCAGGTTGGAAAAGACCTGGAAAAGATCATCCAGTCCAACCTTTGATCCAGGCCCACCGTGGTTCCCAGCCCATGGCACTGATGCCACATCCAGTCTGTCCTTAAACACCTCCAGGGCCGGGGAATCCAACCCCTCCCTGGGCAGCCCATTCCAATGGCTGAGCACTCTCCATGGAAAGAATTGCTTCCCAATATCCAACCAAAACCTTCTCTGGCACAGCTTAAGACCGTATATATGTATATGTAGATAATTATATATAGAATAGAATCATAGAATATGCTGAGTTGGATCCTGACCCATCAGGATCATCGAGTTCAACTCCTGGCCCTGCACAGACACCCCAGCAACCCCACCCTGTCTCTGAGAGTGTCATCCCAACCCTCCTGCAGCTCTGGCAGCCTTGGGGCTGTGCCCACTGCCCTGGGGAGCCTGTTCAGTGCCAACCACCCTCTGGGGGAAGAACCTTTCCCTGAGATCCACCCTGAGCCTGCCCTGACACAGCTCCAGCCATTCCCTGGGGGCTGTCCCTGGTCCCCCCAGAGCAGAGCTCAGTCCTGCCCCTCCTCTGCCCCTGCCCAGGCAGTTGGAGCTGCAGGGAGGTCTCCCCTCAGTCTCCTCTGCTCCAGCTGAACACACCAAGTGCCCTCAGTGTCCTCCCACGGCTCCAAATCCAGGCCCTTCCCCATCTCCGTGTCCCTCCTTTGGACACTCTCCAATGGCTCAATCTCTCCTTCCATTGTGTCCCCCCAAAGTGCCCCAATGTTGAGGTGAGGCCGCCCCAGGGCAGAGCAGAGCGGGACAATCCCCTCCCTGATGTCCCTCCTGGCTGCCAGGGCACTGCTGGCTCAGGGACAGCTGGCACCACCAGCACCCCCAGGACCCTTTCCCAGCTCTGCTCTCCAGCACCTCATTCCCAGTCTGTCCCTCCATCCGGGGTTGCCCCATCCCAGGGGCAGGGTCCAGCCCTTCCCCCTGTTGGACTTCCCCTGGTTGGTGATTCCCAGCCCTGGGATCTGTCCAGGTGTCTCTGCAGGCCCTCCCTGCCCTCAGGGACTCAGCAGCCCTCCCAGTGCTGTGTCACCTGCAGATTGCTCAGGGTCCCTTCCAGTGCTGAGTGCAGGTCACTGATGGAGATGTTGGAGAGCAGAGGGCCCAGGATGGAGCCCTGTGGAACCCCCTGGTGACACTGTCTGATGTCACCCCGGTCACTGTCACCCTCTGTGCCCGACCCCTGAGGCGGTTGCTCACCCTCCACAGGGTGTGTTTTGACCCATGCTCATTTTGGAAAAGTTAAATGTGCTGCAACAGAAAGAGGTGTGTGCATTCACACACACAAAGATGGAGTAAATGAAACCTGAGGAAAATTGGGCTCTTTAGGAACTTTTCAGTTTGTCACAGTAAATTTTCTCGAGGAAAACCTACTGTGCCATCCTTTCTCAAGGATGGTTGTTTTGGTTAAGCAAGGCTGCTCATTTTTGGTCCTGTTTAGCTGTCTTAGTTTAACAAGGTTACAACTTAGAAATTAAGAGACTTCAGGTGGAAGTGTGGAAAAGGAAAAAGAAACAACTTTTTATTAACAAAAATCTGAATAAACAACAAATGGTGCCACCAAAAACTTTCAGAAGAAACAAAACAAAGTCCCTCCCTGACTCCCCCCATCCCAGAGGAAACAGATGGGGGGAGAGGGAGGAACTCTAGGGAAGAAAAAGAAAATTCCAACATCTGTTTTCAAACCTGTGACATCAGCCCCTCAACAGCGACTGGGCAGTAGCACACCAGCCTCAGCTTGTGATTGTTTAATTCTTCTTTGTTTCTTTGGATTGCTTTTACAATCTGAAGTTCAATACCTTCACTGTGTTTTGGTTTCCCTCCCAACACAGGCTGTGGGGTGACCATGGCCAGGAAGCGCTGGAATCTGCCCATGTTTGTGTGATAAATGCAACAGCAACAGGCACTGAAATACTCAAAAACTTAGTGCTGCCAGGTAGGTAGATGTTTCTCCTGGACATTCTTTGGAATGTGTCTGATAACTCCACAATGCCTACTTAGTAATAACAATTTTTTTCCCCCAAGGTATTGGTTCCTTTACAATTGTCGATGGCAATCGAGTCTCTGGAGAAGATGTTGGAAATAAGTAGGTTTTTTACTGGTTTTTGTTACGAATTGAGAAGTAAGAGGGTTTTAAGGGTAGTTCATCTGTGCATTAGTTAAGAAATCCTGTAAAATTCTTTTAAAAGCCTATGTATGTTTCTCCAAGTGTTTATGGGTTTGGAAGTCGGTGACATGCACGGTCATTTGGATATTAACTGCTAAATTCTTTTAGTTCCTGCTTTTTGGCCCTTACAGGTCTATTTGCTTCACATGTTGAGTTTATAAAGACAACACTCTACTCAGTATAAAAATATTTCAAATTAACTTGTTTGATTTATCTTGAGCTATGACAGAGGAAGACTCGCTTGTGTTTCAATGGGGCTAAATATATTTTCACTGACTGTGAGGAAAATACAACAGTGGTGGTGAAGAGAAAGGCAGATTTAAGGGGGAATGTGGTGTGAGAGTCAGCAACATGTTCTGCAGGACAAATGTGATTTACTGCTGCTTTTTCTTCACTGTAACAGTTCACATGTAATTCTCTCTTGTCTCCTTTTCAGCTTCTTTCTACAAAAAAGCCATATTGGTCAGGTAAGGAGATAACAAATGGCACTTTAGGTTGTGTTGAAAGCACAGAAGGGTTGAGTACTCCAATGTAGTATCGTGAATAATTCTAAAAACATGTATGTATAGGCTAAAGTGTGTTTATTCTGTGAGAGAGTTCTCCAGGCTTACTTTTTAGTTGCCCATAAGTCAGAAGATAAACTCAGCTGGGGCAAGACTGAATAGAAAAAATGAAGAGGATGTGATTAAGAAAATCTTTGGAAGGTGTCAGAGCATTGTGGGTGAAGGAACAAAGCTAAGATCAGTGAAGTGAATGGGGGAAAAGTGTCACAAAAACAGAGTACAAGAGTCCTGGATAACTCCTGGAAATTAATCAAATTGGAAATCAGGAAATAGCTGTCACATCATTTGTGGGTTTAAAATGATACTGCTAAAAATGCTCTCAAACACTGCCTGCTGTTATGGGATTTATTTGTGCTTCAGCTAAGCAAGGCTTGGAACGAGGAGCTCTGGTTTCTGATGAGTTCTGTTATGGGGTGTTTTTAGGGGTTGTTTTGTTGTGTTTGGTATTTTTAGCACGTGGCATTATGTAGTATTGATACACTGTATAAATTACATTCCATTTTAATTGCTCCTAACCAGAGTCGTGCCCAGAGTGCCATGGAGCTGCTGCAGGAGTTGAATAATGATGTTTCTGGGAACTTTGTTGAAGAGGTTTGTATTCCTAAATCAGTCATGTGTGTGTGTTGTTCAGTGTGATGAAAGCAGGACACAAAGCTACGTGTAGCTTTGTCATGTTGCAGTTTAAGAAGCTTCATGATAACACAGCACTTGAGGAAGATGATCTGAAGTTATTTGCAAAAAGTCAATTCATGTATTTTAAACATTATTTTGTAGCTTAATCTTATAACTTTCACTTAACACTTTATATTCAGTATTGAGCAGACTTGCTCTGTATTCAGAAATTTTCACAGTGTTTCCTGACATATTTTTTTCTCCTATTTAGAGTCCAGAAAAGCTCCTGGACAACAACCCTTCCTTTTTTAATCGGTTTAACTTGGTGATTGCAACACAACTACCAGAAAGGTAGAGGAGCATCTAAAGTTATTTGTTTGGTTTTGCTCAGTTGTAAAAGCAGATTTAAATTACAGGCACTTTCTTGCAGAAAAACTTAAACCAGAAAGGAAAGTTACAGTAAATTATGGGTTTTCTGTAGACCTTTTTATATGTTAATAGATAGTTTCAAAACTCTCTCAGATCCATGGCTGGCTCCTAGTGCTGTCTGCAGTGTATTTTCTGTGCCAGGCACTCTTTTGTAGTGAGAGTTGTTTGTGGTCCAAAGCCCCAGTAACAAGTGTCCTTATGTCCAGCCTGACACATCAGAGGCTCTGTGATGCCTTTGCATTTCTGCATTTTACTGTTTCATAACTCTTCCCAATTCACCCATATATGTGATTCTGTTTCCCATCTAAGCTTTGTCAAGACCAGTAGTTCATGACTTTTTTTACTGGTTTTAACCTGTTCCTTGAGTGCTGCCTACCAAAAAAAGGTGCAGATGGATAGTTGCAACTGGGAGCACTGGGAAACCTGGGAGAGAGGAACTTGCTGCTTCTGCCTCCACAGAGGCAAGAGGTTCTTGGGTGGTTGAACAGTTAAATCTTGCTTTGCAAGGAAGTGGCTGTTGGTCATTCCTTATCTATTTTGTCCCTCCCCCTTCTCACACAGGAGCTGGAGGAGCTGTCTCAGGAATAAGATCCTCTCTGAAGTGGTGATTCCCTTGGGGAAATGGGATATTTCCTGTGTGCTAATCAAAAACTCCTGGTTGGAACTGCCCCTAGTGGAAGTTATGTCTGTGTAACACACAGATCTGATTGTTATTTTCCCTCTTTCACAACTCATTGAAGCTTTTGGTTTGATATTTGGAGCGTTTGGGAGGATGAGGAGAGACATAAGTACGATAATGGATGAACCTGTTTCTAAGCCAGTGTAAATTCACCTATGAAATAATCACCTTATGTCCTTAGGACCATGTGCTGTTAGAGGAGGTGTCTGGGAGAGCTCTTTCACGAGTCACTTGTGTAAGAGTTGCCTGTTGTGTCCTGCACAACTGAAAGAGGCTGTTTTTCCCCTCACAGTACCTTGCTGCGCCTGGCTGAGCTCCTCTGGAATTCCAACATTCCTCTGCTGGTCTGCAGGACTTATGGACTGGTTGGTTATATGAGAGTCATTATTAAAGAACATCCAGGTTAGAGGGTTTTCTGAGATAGAGACTTTGCAATGCCTCATGTCGCTTCGATTTTATTTTTTTGGTTTATTTTCATCTTGTGATGTATTTAGTGTTTGTTGAGTCTTAGTTTGCAGTTCATCACAGGAGCATTCTTTGAGGAATTATGGCCTGCAACAAATAGTAAGATTGGAGATTATCCTGCCATTAAGTTGAGTTAAACAGAACACTGAGAATCTGGGCAGTTGGAGGAGCAGGTGGTGCTGTGTGTGATGTGGAGCTCGTTTTGAGGGCCAGACATAAAGCTGCAAAATACCTGGTGTGGTTTTGTTCCCAGTTGTTGAATCTCACCCTGACAATGCATTGGAAGATCTGAGACTGGACAAACCGTTTGCAGAGCTGACAGAACACATTCAGTCCTACGACTTGGATCATATGGACAAGAAGGTTGGTGTGTGCAGGTGGGGGTCTTGGGAAGCAAGGATATCTCTTATTAGATTGAATATCCCCTCACCTATTTTTTTTAATTTGTTTTTTTAATTTTTATGATTCCCTACTGCTGCAGAGCTTTGCAGTGAGGGTGTTGTCTCCAGAAAAATACTGGAGAACCTGGCTCAGACAAGGAAAGTAATAATTTTTTTAAAAGTAATAATAATTTTTTAAGTAAAGTAATAGTAGTTTAATAATTTGCTTTATGGTAGTTAGAGAACATTCTGGCTGAATTGAAATCTGGAGCATGTCCTATGTCTTTAGAGCAGTGGAAGGGATGTGAGGAGGTTACATTTCAAATAGATTTTTAGTTTGTTCCCTGTTTTTTATCTTTTCTCAACTTGACCAAGATCTCTCTGCTGTTCCCTTACAGGACCACAGCCACACTCCATGGGTCGTGATTGTAGCCAAGTATCTGACAAAATGGCTCAACGAGGTGTGTTGCAAAACTATTACTATTATTGCTCTGTCTTTTCTGCCCTAATTTATTATTTTGGCAGTAACATAAACCAAGGTGGAATCTTAAAAACTGTATCTTGAAATACAGGTGAATGTGTGTGAGCAGTGACAGACTCCTGGAGTTCAGTCTGAACACAGTGAGTGAGGTTGGTAGGAGGTATTTTAAAGACAACATCTTTTTGTGTTTTTAAATTCAGAAAAGTGAACAGCTGCCCAAAAGTTACAAAGAAAAAGAAGCCTTCAGACAACTGATTCGACAAGGTAATGAATGGCCCAGGAGTCACTTGTTCATACTGGCAGAAATAAGGTGGTGTCTGAAAGATAATCAGAAGTTCTCTCAGGGTGAATTTATAAAATCTGCTGGCATATTCAGTAGGGTTCTTCTGCTAAAGGATGGTTTTGTACAAGTGGATGTCGAGATCCCAGCCTTGCTTATAAATGGATTTTGGCAGTGTTAAAGATCCAGAGTATGTTTTGATTTGGGAGGGAGGAAAGGCCTCAAGAGAAAAACCTGTAGAAAATCTGATAAAGAGGAAAGCAAGTGGCTCTTGACAGTGGCATTGTCTTTAACTGCAGGTGTTTGGTGGGTCTGTTGACCCCCAGACACTTGGTAATCTCTGCATCTCCAGAGTACCAGTCAAGAGACACAAAGGTTACGTAGCTCTGAATGCACTGGAACCAGCATGTGAACAACTCCAGTTTTGCAGGTGTTTCAGTCTAAGACCTTTTGTGGGTGCTAAAATTAATGTGGAGGGTTTAAGATCTATAAATATATTGTCCTAAATGATTGTAGAATAAAAGCAGTAAGGGAATTTTTGGTATTTCCTCACCTGAAGGCGGCCTGTGTGCAAATTCTGAGGGGTTCTGCCATCCTTATCCCCAGGCTATGAGGGGACTGAACTGATCTGATCTGTCCTTGAGGTTTGGTTAAATGAGGGTTTAGTGCAGTCCATTTCTGGGTCTGGTTTGCTGTGTGGGTACAGGAGTGTTTGCCAAGCTGGAGCAAAACACCCCCAGCAAAACATGAGTGGGGATGGGAGGGAGAGTTGAGCTGTTCATTCAGTGCTTATGAAACGTCAGTATCTCTCTCTCACACAGAGAAACTGTTTTTTCCTGATAAGTAACTTCTATTTAAGAGCACATGAAAATGAATCATATGCAGAATGTTCAAGAAGTTAGTTTTATCAGTGCATCTTTGACGTTTTTTCTGGAGATTTGTTTTTCTTTTCTTGCTGATTGGCTGTTATGCCATAAACACACCCAAAGCCAGTCTGCCCTGTTGGAAAGACCTACATGACAAGATGTAATTCAAGTGGTTGAGTATTTCAAATTAATTTTTTCAATCAGGTATCTTAAAGAATGAAAATGGAACCCCAGAAGATGAGGAAAACTTTGAAGAAGCCATAAAAAATGTGAACACAGCGTTGAATACTACAGAGGTAAAATAAACACTTCTGTGATAAAACTGAAGGAATTTCCACTGCATCATTTTCTCAGAAAATATGATGCACTTTTATCCAGGAATCCCATTTGTAACATTTGTGTTTAAGTAGAACAGGATTGATAGAATGGTTAGAATTGAAGTTGTGTGGTTAAATAGACCTGGACTAGCTGTAGCTCATGGAAATTCTGTAATTTCCTTGCTCATGCAAGGAGGCTGCATTTCCCTCCTCAGGGCTTGGATCCAGGTCTACAGTGAGTTGGTTCATCAGCAGTGAGTTCTTGTCTCAGTACTTTCATCCTGAAGAAATGTTGTGAAATTCCCTTTATAAACTGATCAGGCTTAAAAACCTTAAAAGTGAAGTTTTCATTGTTTTTAGATAATTCTGAAGTAGCAACTTGTGGTTTAGAAATCAAAAGACAAGTAATTACAACCCCCATGTATTTATTGTCACAGGTTCCAAGAGGCATTCAGGAGCTTTTTAATGATGATTGCTGTATGAAACTCACCGAGCAGGTAGGAGGAGTCCTGGGCAACACATGGAGCAGAACATCATAAATGACATCTGTGCACCTGACTGTCTCTTGTGCATTTGCAGTCACCTTCCTTCTGGATTTTGGTTCGAGCTCTGAAGGAATTTGTGGCAAATGAAGGGCAAGGAAGCTTGCCTGTGAGGGGCACTATTCCTGATATGATTGCAGACTCCAGTAAATTTATCAGGCTGCAAAATGTGTAAGTATACAGTTATTTACTGGACAGTTCCTGATGCTGCTCAGTGGTGCTGCCTGCAGAGCTGTCCCAGTGCCTGTGTTTGAGGCACTGGGGTGTGGGGCTGGCTGAGGCTGGGGGAGCACAGCAGGGCTGTTCCACAGGTAGGTGCCATCTGCTGATGGCAGGTGGAGCTGAAGCTGTCAATGCATCCCATTTCCCTAGGCTGAGGAGTGAGTGATCACCTACTTTCAGATCTAGTAAGGACCTTCCTGTAGGTGGTAGATCTCCTAGCCCAGATACTGCTGTCCAAAGCAAATTTCTGCTTAAAGACAACCTTTATTTTTTTTCCCTCAAAATATATGTTAACCTGGTTACAGAAATTATAGTTTTCTAAATACTTAATTCTAATTAATACCCTTGGAAGGGATTGCCTGGTAAATAAGGAAGGATCAGGATTTTAGGATGGTGTATGTTCAACATGAACTTTCTGTTCCTGTGCACCCTGGACTTGGTGCAATTCTTTGGCCAAACAGACTTTTCTGGTGGTGCCCCATTTTCTTTGCAGCTGATGCTTTCATCCACCTTTTTTTATCTTTAAAAGGAAACAGTAGTATCTTACAGAAGACTTTGTTAACTTGTTGTCTGTGCAGTTGTACTTTGAATTGTTCAAATCAGAAAGTAAAACCTAAGATATTTTGGAGTAAAATCTAATAGATCCCCATAGATCTAAACCACAACCTCTACTAGAAGAAGGATTGGGTGCCTTTAATAGTGTTCACTGCTCAAAATGGAATCTGTGAATTTAGAGCTGCATTCCTCACAGCTGTGACAAATAGCATTAAAACATGATATAAAAATACAAATTGTTACATGTCTAAAATAATTGCCATCACTTCAGGAAAGTTCCTCTGTATAATTATAGTAAACCCTGGAACTTGTATCAGTATTTTGCTTAATGAAACCAGAATTGCTTGAATTTGCACAGATACCCTAATTTGTAAATCTGAATTCTCTTAAGTATCCTGAACTGGCAAACCATTTTGTCCTTCAGTTCTCAAATAGTAAGCATTGCAGGATTTTAATTCACAGATAAAGCAACTACAGTTCCTTAAAATGAGCTCTTAAATTGAATTTTATTGAGTACTGTGGTGTTGAGATGTTTGCAGTGTCATAGTTCTTAACAGAACTAAAATATTAATGGCTGCAAACATTAAAACATGGAAATTACTAAAATATTAGAAACCAAATGAAGGATGTAGAGCTGCTAACTTCAGCCACATGAACATGAACAGCTGTGTCCCACAGGAGGGAACAAGTGCCCTCCTGGCCCTGAGGGAGCTCCCTTCCATTCACCTCCCTCCCTTCCTTCACGTGTGTGTTGTCTTTCTGATGCAAGCCACCAGCAGCTGCTGTGCAGTGTGACGCTGGTGGCTCTGTGCTGCAGTGATGGCTGATTTGTGATTGCCAGGTACCGGCAGAAGGCCAAGCAGGACGTTGCTGCTGTGGGTGCTCATGCTGCCAAACTGCTACAGTCCCTGGGCAAGGTGAGTGCCAATGCACGGCCATCCTGGCACGGGGAAAGCAGCTTCTCCCTCCTGTTCTGTCCACAGATGAGTCACAGGAGACACGGGGGAAGAGAAGGCTTCATTACCCCTTTCTGTTCAAGGGGTTTAAGTAAGTTCTGATGAAATGAAGCATCTGTGGTCTGCTTTATTTTATCACTTCTGGTTTGATCCTATAAAAGTGCATACAGGTGTATATTATTTACAATTTAAGATACTTTTTTTTGGTACATCAGTGACTAGTTATTTCACAATAAAGATATGAATATATCTGAAAGTGTGAATTCTGGTGATTGTATGTACTGAGTGAGTGTATTCTCTCTTTTAGGCACCAGAGTCCATTTCAGAGAGACAATTAAAATTGTTTTGTGAGTATGCTTGGATTCTGTTGTTGGGTTTATGCAAATGATCAAATAACCACAAACTTCTGAATGATAATGTAGTTATTAAATAATAAGTCAGTATTTAAATTTTTCAAGTAAGTGATTTGCACCCCTCATCTTCAGTGGAAGTACCAGATGTTCAGCATCTATCAGTAGTGAATCTGTAACAGTTGGCTTTTAAAAGATTATATATTTTTTCAGCTGCAGCAAGAGGGAGCAGCTTCCTCTGCTCCGTGTGATGAGTACCTAACTAATCTTGCCGTGTGAACTTGTGCTGTGCTGAAAAGGTAAAGCAGGTGATGGCATTTCAGGTGGTGTCTGTTCTGGGTATGTGCACATGTCCTGCTGCAGTCTCCTTGCAGCTGGCAAGTGTCCCTGTAAGCACACAGCCCAGAGCATGCTGTCCCTGTGCTGCCGAGGCATTCACTGGCACTTTGGCAACCTCCCAGCTGCTGCTTTTGCAGCGCTCAGGGTTGTTTCATAGCGATGATACTGCAAAAGAACCTTTTCGGTCTCGTGGCTGCACTGTTCAAATATTAACTGAGAACATGTGAGGCAGCTTTAGGTGCAGTGGGAGGTGGAAGGAACCCGTGTTCATCTGCAGCCTGGAAGAGGACACGTGGATCTGATGGCTGTGGCTGCTGTAGAAGAGCTGGTTTTGAGCTGTTACATTAACATGGCAGATGTAAATTACAGGAATACACAGCACTAAAATACTCGTGGCCATGGACCTGCATGTAGTTGAATAGATTTGTGCTGGTGAGATGAGGTTGTTGATGCTCCTCTCCTGCCCCCCATCAGGCAGCAACGCAGCCTTTCTGCGGGTGGTGCGCTGCAGGTCCCTGGCTGAGGAGTACAGCCTGAACACCTTCAACAGGGACCAGATCGGTGAGTGCTGCCCTCTGACACACACCTTGATTGCACTTCCAGCTTCAAACGATTTCTGTGATGAAAAAGAATTTGTTAAGTGCTCTGTTGCATTATGCAGTTTTTTGATTTGGCATCAGCTAGAAGTGTGGAGTTAAGTCTAGAATGTTGAGTTCAGTTTGATTTTAAAATTTCAAAAATGACCTCACAGATTGTTCCACGCTTCAGGGTTGTTTTTTTTTTGCAGATTTCAATTTTGGTAGTATATAAATAAAATGCTGTTTTCTTCAAACTTCTCTCTTCTGTACCTCAGTTATTTCTGACAGATCTGGAAAGGTGCTTTCACCCGACCAAATGAGAAGAACTGTCTTGTCCTCTGCCAGCTGATCTGTTCAGTATGTGAACTAGCAAACTAGTTACTTAATACTGCTTTTTTTGTTGTTCTGAGCCTGCATAAGTTAAAAAAAAAAGCTGAAAATACTTTTTCATCACAGTTTGTTGAAATGAAGCTTATACAAGTCCCCTGTTTTGGACAAAATGTATGTATATTTAGTGTAATATTTATATAATAATTATATATCATTTAAGTGAAAGCTCCTTGAATTAGTTGATAATATACAATGTCATTTAAGTAGTAGGCAGCATTTACTGAGCTGCATGGAAAAGGATTTAAAACCTGTTTTATAATTACTGTCATTACAGTTCAATATTTAAAGCATGTTTTTCAAATTCCAGAGTTAGAAACTAAAGTATATTCCATTTAAATTAGAGCAACTGTCAGAGTTGGAATGTGAATGTCATCACTGTATAGTTTATATCAAATGGTTTTGTCATAAAATTTGGAGGCAAAGCTGCATATCTGGCACTGAGATTCTCAGTTGCAGGTTGTTTTCGTTCAGATTTTTTTTTTACTGCAGATTTTACAGTTTAAGCATGTGGGTGATACTTGATTTCAGGTAATGCAAACTTTTTCCAGTTCATCTCTACCAACTAACCAATTCTCTTGCTGTTCCCAGTTTCCCATATGGACAACCCAGACAGTGAGATAGTGCTGTACTTGATGCTGAGGGCTGTAAATAGATTTTACAAGCAGCACGGGAGATACCCAGGTATGGTAATACAGAGTTACTTCAGGTCAGCCAAAGAAATACAAAGATCCAACAGTTACTGTGACAACTGTAATACTGTAGTTATAAACTACAAATACAGCATTAGTTGTGGTTTTCTTTCCATATTAATATAACTTTAAGAATTAAAGTGAGAATTTTTTCTCTTTGGGAACTGAAGGAATTTATCTGAATTAATAACACTGAGATGGGTTGCACGGATTACAAGTTCAGCTGCATAAAAATTTGTCATTATTATGAGTAGCATCAACAGAATATTCAGTCATTATTAGTCTAGTGTTAATAATATTAGCTTAGAAGCTTTTCAGAAAAATGAAGTATTTCTGCTGCCGTTTGACCCCGTTAACTTTGCGTGTGATGTTACAGCTGTGTGATTAAACACTTCACTTCCTTCCCAGGCGTCTACAACTACCAGGTGGAAGATGACGTTGGGAAACTCAAATCCTGCCTTACGGGTTTCCTGCAGGAGCACGGGCTGTCGGTGGTGGTGAAGGATGACTACGTTCAGGAGTTGTAAGTGTTCTGTGTTGGGAGGGGCTTTGCTGGTAGCACTGATGGCCCCTTCTGACTGTTCTCTCCTGCCCAGCTGTCGCTATGGAGCTGCCGAGCCACACGCTGTCGCTGCCTTCATGGGAGGTAAGGGTGGCTCTGAGCTCTCAGTGCCTTCACGGCAGGTGAGGATGGCTCTGAGCTCTCAGTGCCTTCACGGGAGGTAAGGGTGGCTCTGAGCTCTCAGTGCCTTCACAGGAGGTGAGGATGGCTCTGAGCTCTCAGTACCTTCACGGGAGGTGAGGATGGCTCTGAGCTCTCAGTGCCTTCATGGCAGGTGAGGATGGCTCTGAGCTCTCAGTGCCTTCACGGCAGGTGAGGATGGCTCTGAGCTCTCAGTGCCTTCACGGCAGGTGAGGATGGCTCTGAGCTCTCAGTGCCTTCACGGCAGGTGAGGATGGCTCTGAGCTCTCAGAGCCTTCACGGGAGGTGAGGATGGCACTGAGCTCCCAGGGCACGGGCTCTGGGATGTGCCCCAGGCAGGAGCTCTGCTGCTTTGACTGCTTTGTGTTGTCAGAGCAAAGACAGCACCAGGACAGAGTCCTGCCCTTCACTCTCCAGACATGACCCCCTGTAGCATGTGGAGTAAGTGGGCACAGCAAGGGCTTAAAGGCAGTGAAAGAAAGCAAGTAAACTTAAACACAATCACAGCAGATCAATCCTAGGAACTTAAAAATGTGTTTAAAAATAGTGCTCGAAAGAGGCTTCATTTTTTTTTAAAGGAAAGTAACAACTGTAGTAATTTTAAAATTATTCAGTACATGTCTTCCTTTAAATTAACACAATACACTTACACAAAATATCTGTGAAATAAAAATAGCACTGATTTCTTACCTTCATTCAGACTATGAGTATTGTCAAAATGACATGTTTTATTGGGTGCTCAAAATTGATGTATCAGTTACCTCCTTTATTTGGCTTCATGCAGTGCTGAAGATAATTATGTTTTAAATACTCTGTGTAGGAATTTTCTCTGATTAAGTGAAACTTGGCATGTACTATGCTTTAGAAAAATACGTGAAGGCAACTTCTGAAGAAATTACAGAATATTTCATACTACAGGAAAACACAAAGGGAACACAGTGATGTAACCCTTCAGTTTATTTTACAGTTTAACTGTACATTTTTTTAATTTAACCTCTCAGTTGTATTTTGAGAGGTCTCAACTTGCATGGCCCTGTCTGCTCACAGGTGTTACTCTGAGGGTGTGTACATGGAGAGAAAGTATATACAGCAAAGTAACTTTGGAAGTTGCAGCTTTCTGAGCCTCTTTAATGCTGGGAAGTACTAAAAGGCATTTTTACCCCCTAGGAGGTGTATCAGGCACTTCTCACATAATTCCAGTGTAGTGAGTTCTAGATAAATAACATTGGTTTACTGTTGTTTAAATAAGATCTGCTAACTGCCTTCTGGTTTTTGTTTTACAGGGGCTGCTGCACAAGAGGTTATCAAAGTCATTACAGGGCAGTTTGTAATTTTTAATAACACCTTTATTTACAGTGGAATGTCACAGACTTCAGCAACTTTCCAACTGTAGGGTACTGATGCCCCAAGGTGCTGCTGCTGCTCTATTTACAGTTTTTACAGTATTTACGGTTCTGTAAATACTGTGGTGGTTTACCACTGACTGGATTGTTCTGTTCTGTATTATCTGCTAATTAAACTTCCTTTATTTGTAAGTACCTTTTTTGGTGGTTGTCCTGAGGACAAATAAAATGATACGAAATCCTGACTTTTTTTTTTTTTTCGAAATCACTGCTGGGTCCCTCAATTCAGGAAGGGCACTGAGGGGCTGGAACATGTCCAGGGAAGGGCAACAAGGCTTGTGAAAGGACTAGAGAACGTCTTATGAGGAGCAGCTGAGAGAATTGTGTTTGTTTATCCTCCAGAAGAGGCTCGGGGGGACCTCATGGTCCTTTACAGCTCTCTGACAGGAGGGGTGGTGAGGTGGGTCGATCTCCTGCCATGCCTGCAGTGAGAGCACAGAGGAGCTGGCCTCAAACTGAGACAGGAGATTCAGATTAGGTGTTAGAAAACATTTGCACTGTTCGGGAGATCAGGCATTGGAATAGGGAGGTGTTGGAGTCACCGTCCCTGGGGGTGTTAGAGACGCCTGTGTCTGGCGCTGGGTGATGTGGTTTAGCAGCGTTGGACTGGATGATCTTACAGCTCTCTTCCAGGCTTGACGATTCTGTGATGCTGTGAAAGCGCCGTGAATCTCCCCTGGATCAGGCGAAGGTTCGGGGATCGCCCGTGCCCAGGGGAGCCCGCCCTGAGGCGCTCGGGCGGCGCTGCCCGGCGGCGGCTCCTGAGGGGCCGGAGGGCGGGAAGGGCTGAGGGCGGCCCCGCTCCCCTCAGGAGGCACCGCGGGCAGGGCCGGGCACGGCGGGGCCGCCGCTCCCCCCTCAGCCCGGAGCGGTCACCGCATCCCCCTCAGCCCGGAGCGGTCACCGCATCCCCCTCAGCCCGGAGCGGTCACCGCTCACCCCTCAGCCCGGAGCGGTCACCGCTCACCCCTCGGCCCGGAGCGGTCACCGCTCCCCCTCAGCCCGGAGCGGTCACCGCTCCCCCTCAGCCCGGAGCGGTCACCGCATCCCCCTCAGCCCGGAGTGGTCACCGCTCCCCCCTCAGCCCGGCGGGCAGGGCTCGGCAGCAGGACCGGCATCGCCTCGGTGTGTGCCCAGAGACAACCCCACCGCCGGGTCACAGGTACCCGCTCCGTGCCCCATGTCACACCCCTCGGTGCTCCCCACCCTCCCACAGATGAATGCTGCTGCTGTTTCGTCTTTGTGCTGTTCGCCTTTTTTTCTTTGTCAGGTGTTTTTTTTTTTTTTTTTTTTGAGTCTTTTACATATTCTTTCTGTTTTATATCTGGGGCGATGTGGAGCGCTCGCAAAGACTTCAAAGCGGGCTCTGATAACGAGCCGTGACTCACACGGCTCGTCTGAGGGAGGGGGCTGAAGCAGGGCAGGAACACCTCACAGCCCCGTTGCACCCAGCAGTGTCCTCACGGCCTCGCTGCTGATGGGAATTTGGGATTCCATGGAACACCAACAGCGGGTCTGGTCCCAGGTTTTCCAAGGATAAATCCCATTGCGGCTGGCTGCTGCGATCCCTGTGCTCCAGTGCTGCTGGACAAACAGGACCTGAACTTCTCTAGGAGTGTCTTTTTGAGCTTTAAAGTGATGTTACTGGGTTATTTTCCATAACTGACGGGTGATTTGTTTTATATGCAACATTAGGCAGAAGTTTGTTGCAGCAAATCTTGTAGCTTGTCTGTTCGTCTTTGCCCTGTAATGCAACATGGTCGAGCTATTTGCATTTAACGTGGGCTGGCTTATAAATATTATTTTGTGTACCTTCTGTAGGTTGCAAAAAAATAGACCCAGGTAAGGTCAAGATGTATCTTTCTATACAGTTTTAAAAGCCTTGTGCTTCTTATATTAAAGGTTCCTTAATTATATAAATGTATATTTAATTAAACTCTACTGAAATGCTGTCAGCTCCAGAGTCAGCTGATTTTTACAGCCTTCCTTTTGCTAGGGAACATGTAGGGGTTTTGTTTTCCCTTAGGCTGGCAGGGTGGTAGCAGAAGGGGCAACAAGAGGTGAGGAAGACTTGCAAGCTTTTCCCTGTTATGGGTTGGATTTGCAAGAAAATGAAATGCATATATATTATGGCTTCTGAAAGGGAAAAGGAAGATGGGCTCTTTTTAAATTTTCCCTTTCTAATGAAACAGCAAAGGAATGGGGACAATCCTAAACTCTAAATGGAAAGCGAGGCTGGTTGTTTTCATCAAGAGGACACTGATACTGCTTAGAGCCTCTGCTCCACTTGGAGAAGGAAAACTAATGCATTATTAAGCTGAATTTATCAGTGACTTAAAGTTTCTACCTGGAGCTAAATAATTTTTGAGAAATTGAAATAGGTTACTGTGATGGTTGAATCAACCTTTGGGTGGGGGTGGTCCTTAGGACATGTTTGAGGGATCACCTTTCTCTCTCCAAACCTAAATGTCACCCCGATCTTCAGCTGAATCCCAGATCCTGGCACATTGGGTTTGTGAAGAATCAGTGCTCTGGGGTTTGTGGTTCATGTAAAGTCTTTGGTGAACTAAAATTAATTCTCAGTTCAAGGAATCACGTCTCAGCATTGGTTTTGGTTTGACCAAAGCCAACAAAACAGTCATGGTTTAGAGGCTCCCTGAGCAGCAGCAGGAGGCTGAAGGTTTTATATGTTCACCCTCTGGGTAACATTTCCTGGGGGTTTTAGTGCAAGTTGTTGGCTGATGATGGCAAGTTGTTATATTAGCTTTATTGTGATCAGTGACACAGAGACACTGATGGTGCCCCCACAGTGGTAACACCTGAGTCCTGCAAAATGGCAACTTTAACAGGTGGTAACACACTATTACACATGCAGGGTTATTATAAAATACTGCATTTCCAAAGGAAATCTTTGCCATGCCAGAGAACATTAAACTCTGTGTGTGTGTCAGGTGACAGGGTAAAACCAGAAAAGTGGAAATATATATATATATATATATATATATATATATACTGCCTGTGTTGTAAACACTGCTAATCTGAACAGAAATGAAAACATCTTTTCCTTGCTGTTGTAGACCAGGAACAGAGATACAACCAAAAATGGACATTGAAAAGGTGCAGAAGAATCAGTGTGGTAGGACACCTAAGAGAATTTGTCATTTATTATCTGCATCAACTCTACAAATCTTTAGTAGACTGGGATATGCCTGGCCTGGGGTGGGGAGCTGTTGGGAAAAAGCTCTTTTTCTGAATTTTGGATGCTGTATTGGATACCTAAAAGGCAAATCTAATGACAAACATTCAAATAGGAAATCACACCACAAGGTTACCTTTTTTTTTAAGAAAAATGCTAATATTAACCCACATTTTTATTGTCCTATAACTTTTTTGAGAAACCCCCACCCTTAGAAGGGTTTACAATATACAGTAACTGCTGTCACTTTTGCAAACAATCACCACATAATCTCTTTATTATAACCCAAAACTTAACAAACAGGTTTTCAAAGTTTTCACTTACCTAGGGCTGTTTGTAGGTGCCCAGAAAACACTTTGTGTTGCCTCAGTAACCACCCAGTTGGAGGCTCTGCTCTGTGGTGGGTGAGGGTGTCTGCTGTGACTCAGTCCCACGCTGCAGCCTCGTGCTGTTGGATCCTTCCCCTGTTACTCTGTAGATTTTATACTGTATTTTGAACATGTTAATAGTCCTATATTGGTCATGTTACACTTAATGCACCTTGCAATTGTCAACTGAATATTGAGTAATCTACACCACGTTTCCCACCAGTTACTAGGGATTAAAAACCAAAGGAAATCGTGCTCCAATAACAAACTCTGCACAGCAGTATTTCTGGGTTAAGTGTGTTTGTTATTTATGGATGGATAGAAGGGGTGTAGCTTTGTTTTTGCTCACTTTTTTTTTTTTAATGCTTGTGCATGCTACATTTTTGGTCAGGTTTATTGTGATATTGAACAGATTAATATATAGAAAAATAACAATTTTCATGAAGATTTTTGTGTTTGCTCTTAGAGATGAAAACAGATCTGAACTTACTGCTTGAATGCCTTAAATATCAGATGGACTGCCCTCTGTCTCAGAAGGAAGCTTTGATCACTATTTACTCAATTTGTCAACAAAACAGTAAGGAATGTTTTTCCTTGGAAACATTTATGTTCACCACATATGTTCAGAACTGGTGGTCACTGTAAAAGAGTTGTCTAAATGATGCAAGGCTTGAGAAGTTGTAAAATCTTGGGAGGCTTTCAATTTACAAAGAAACAAAAGCTAAAGGGTCATTTTTGTTATTTTTTCTCTTTTGTAGGTGAAGCAAGTGAATATTTTCGAGAAATTGGAGGTTTGATGTTTATAAGTGACCTTGCAAAGTCAAGTGCTCACTGCGTGGTGAAGGAAGCAGCTTTGTTTACACTGGGGATTATTATAGAGAGTAATGGTAATATTAAGCAATATTTTTCGTATTTCTGAGTGAGAAATACTTCTCCTGTGCTTTGTCTCCACGGTTTTTTTGGCCTCAGACAATCAGATTACAAGGTGACCAGTTGGAGACAGGGGCAGTAAAGGTGCCCCTGTTGCCCTGCCCATGCCTGGATGTGACACAGCACCCTGTCTGCGTGTCACCAGCCAGCTGAGCTCCTCCTCTTCCTCACCAGCAAGTGTTAAATGACTCAGATTGACCCAGAGTTTGCCAAGCCCTGGTTGGTTTAGAATTCACTACAGGGGGAAGCCCTGGGTCACTTTATAGTCCTATTTTGTCTCCACTCCCCACGTGCTGGCCACAGCTGAGATTTAATAATTTGGGATTATGAGCAACTTACTTTAGGACTTAATGGTGTTCATTTTCTGTTTTCAGTGTACT